GACCGCATGGCCGTCATCAGCTGGGCCCTCAGCGGCGCCGCCCTCGCCCTCACCTGGCGGGGCCGCCGCACCCTGCGCTTCCCCATGTGGACGCCCCAGGTCACCCCGCCCCGCCCGGCGCCTACCTGCGCCTCGCCATGTGGCACGGCGCCCGCTACGTCGCCTACTCGGCCGCCCTCAGCTTCACCCTCCGCGCCCCGCTCATGGCCTACAGCGCCGTCCACGAACAGCAGAAGATGAAGGAGGACCCGCGGCTGCGCGGGCTGCGCGACGACGAGCACGCCGCCGCCAGCGACGCGAGCCAGGGTGACGAAACCTGGAGCGGTGACGGAGCGGCAGCGTGCACGGCCTCGTTGGGAACAGAGGATGCCCAGCAGCAACAGCAGCAGCAGCAGCAACAGTCGTCGATACAGGACGCGGCGCAGTCTGGCTGGGATACATACAAGCAGGCTGAACAGAAACAGACGCAGCAACAGTACGGGCAGAGCACGCAGCCACAAAGCAGCGGCGGCTGGGGCAGCAGCAGCAGCAGCAGCAACTATGGTCAGTCCGCGTCAACCACGCAACAAGCCAGCGCCGGCTGGGGAAGCCCCGACTTGGACGACGGCTCACCCGTTGCTTCATCCGCGCAAAACGGCTCCGCGTGGGACCGTCTCCGCCAGCACTCGCACCGCGCCCCTCAACAACAGCAGCAGCAGCAGCAGCCACCGGCGCAGTCTACGGGCGGTAGCTGGGGGGACTCGGGCGACGGTGCGGACCGCGCCGCGCAGGAGAAGGCCCAGAGAGACTTTGACGAGCTGCTGGAGCGGGACCGCCAAGGGGGACAGGCACGCTCAGGTTGGAGCGGCCGGTAGTTTAGGGCGTTATGGTGCAAGGGAAATACCGTGTATTATTATAAGCAGCAAAGTGTATTCTAAAATCACACATGACACTGCATGCCGAGTCTCACCTGGTCAGCTCGATACGCACATGCACGAGATAGTACATGTTTGCATTGTAAATACAACTGAATTGAAAACGTCTTATCAGAAAACACTAGACTGAAAATTCAACTATCAAGTTCAAAGTAACAAGAACAGCTGTGCTCCGCTTAAACATCTTCTTCCGCTTGAGCATGCGTAAGAGGCACGTCACCAATGTCCTGCTCCTTTGCAGCCGAGTCGTGTGCAGCGTCTAGGTCCTGTACCTTCAGGGCACTTTTCTCCTCGACTTCAGAGGAGGGCAACTTGGCGTTGACAATATCCGTGCTCGCCTTGTCGACCGCCTCTATGGCCGGCTCGGCGGTGACAGGCTTCTCAACGAGATCAGGTACAAGGCCATCTTTGGCGACTGCCGCAGGCTCCACGGTCTTGGTCTGGTCAGTGACATCGTCATCTGCGAGCACAGATACGGTCTTGGTCGCATCATGGCTAGGCTCCTTGTATATCGAGGGTTCCAAGTCTTTGCTCGCCTCCTTGATCGGTGGGCTATTGGCCTCCTTGCCCGCCTCGTGGCCACTTGACTTGGCCAAGTCCTCCACAGGCTCGTGGGTCGTTTTGCTCAGCTCCGTAGCGATCTCGCGCGACTCCTCGGTGACGACAAGCCTGTCCGCCGAATCAATGCTGAAAAGAGTTTGCGGTCGAGAGAGACACAGGACAAGGGCAGACGGTTCCTTTACAGGAGATGCGGCCGTTGCCGGGGCTCTGCGCTGAGGACCCCGCGCGCGACTTTTTCTGGCATCAGACAACGGGGCTTTTTCTTTTTCAACAACCTCCTCTTGTTGTTCTGGCTCCTCCTTCTTCAAGGCCTGGGGTCCAAGTTGGAGCCGCTTATTCAAATCGCTCATGAACCCTGCCTGTAGCGCAGCAATCTTGCCGCCGGCCGGGCGGCTGGGCACTGGTGGCTTGGGTGGCTTGACAGCTTCTCTATCCTTTGAGTCGCCAGAGAGCTTCTTAACTGGACGGGCGGGGATGTGAGGCTTGGGTTTTTCTGAAACGGAAGGCGGTTGCTTAGTTGCATCGTCGCCAGCTTGCACAGGCTTAGGTCGGCTGGGGATAGCAGGCGGAGCTTGCGACTCTTCAGCAACCTTCTTCGCGGGTCGCGCAGGAACATCTGGTTTGCTATCGTCAGACTTGCTTTCGTCCTCTACGGCCGATTCGGACAAGGTTGCTTCATGGATGTGGCTTTCAGGCGCATCCTCCCAAATGTCCTTGCTCGGAAAACGCCTCGAGCTAGAAGCCTTGGACACTCCGAGATGTGATTGATGATCAATCCACTTTGGCTTCGTATCAGCAGAGAGTGGCAAGTATTTGTTGCTGCGCCCACCGGCCTCCTTCTCGGCCAACTCTTCCTGATACTGCGCAAAAGCTTGCGCGGGTGTGATGGACCTATTTTCAGAGAAGGAAGCTTTCGACTTGGGGCGCTGGTTCTGCTCTTCAACGTCCGGTGTTGAAACCTCGGTGGAGTAGTGTACACTACTTGGTGCATCTTCCCAGATATCCTTACTGGGGAATTGGCGTTTCGCCCTCTTCGCAGCAGCTGCCTGCTTCTTTTCCTCTTGGGTTTTTTCTTCGTCGAAAAGTGGCTCGTATTCTTCAACATCATCAAGCGGTGTCGAGTTGAAGCCACGGTCAGTGTCTTCATCATGAGTAGTATGACGGATACTGGGTATCTTTGGCTCATCAGCATCGTAAGAGCGCGAACGATCAAATCCAGGTCGGATGGCGGGATTCCGAGCTGTCACGTTGGCATCGGCTTCAATTTCGTCGTCAGCCAGAATGGGAGCATGATAGTTCTCAGCCTCTGGATTCTCGGTACCATACGAGTAGTGCTCGGGATGTTTTGAGTCGTCGACGTGGATGGCGTGGAGTACAGACGACCTTTCATCATCGGTGGCCTTGGAAGATGAACCAACCTCGGAGAAATAGGTACTTCCCTTTTCAGCATGCGACGAGTCTTGCGGGGTGGAAATGCGGAATGCGTATTCGTCACTCGCATGGAAGGCGACATCTTCAGTGGGTGTAGAGATGGCTTCGTTATAGAGACCTGGATACTTTCATCAGACTGTGAGAACCTGTAGGGGAGTGCTGCAATTCTTACTCGAGGTGGGACGACGCCTGGCGGTATCACGAACCATGCGGTTGAGATCGTTACTGCTCATGGCATAGTCGCTCTGACGATGGTCATGTATGTTGTGCTTCTTTGCCTTGCCGGCGAGCTCTGGGTGCTTTTCGTGGTAGGCCTTTTCCAGCCTGTCCTGGGGATCGACACCATGGCCGTGTAGGCCATAACTCCCTGGGGGCATATTACGGGCAGAATGCTTGCGGGTATGGTGTCGCTTGCCTTCTTCCGGGGCAGGAGAAGGGGCCTGGACGTCGCCAAGATGACTGTTCATGGGCACGCGTTGTCCAATCTTAGGAATACCATGCTCATCATCGATGTAATTGCCGTGATCACTGTGCGTCGAAAGGGTCGAGCTGGGCCTTCGGATCATGGGATCGCGGGAGGGCGGGCGATCACTCCCGTTAGAGGACTTGCCGAGTCCAAGGGAGGCAGCCTTGTCTGAGTCGGTTCTTGTGACGGCCATGATCTGCTGCTTGGCGCTACCGGGTGGCAGAGAGGGCTTGGGAGCGTGTAGCTTAAGGTTGTCGCCGACGGTCCGGGTCTGATGGGACGACCCAAGCTCTGTCTCGGCCTGCGTGTCTAAGACGCCGTATTCGAGGCCTTCTTCACCAAGCGAGGGTAGAGACACGCTGGCAGGGCGGTCGATGGGCTCATTCAGAGAACTTGATTGGTCGTGGCTTGAAGAAGAGCTGGTCGGGCGCTGACCCTTGGGCTGGAACCCACTGTGCAAAGGCGACTGGGCAAATCGGTCGCTGCTGGAGGGCCTGGGCTGCACGAGACTCTTCTTAGCAGGTCGAGCAGGAACAGTCGGTGCCTCGGTAGCTTGCTGGGCTTCCATGCTAGGACTCTTGGAGGGCCGCGGGGGCACAACGGGAGGTGCTGGAGCGCTCATATTTGGGTTTGGTATAATATGAAGAAAATGTATATCGATGTTCGGATGATGGGGGGGGCGATGGAGATGCGGTAATACGCTGGGCTCTGGACGGGCTCATTAGCATGCGGGCTCAGTTCAAATGTAAATGGCAGCGTTGGCTTGGGTAGTCGGCAATTAGAGAGGGCACGCCGTCGAAAGGGCTCTCGGCAACGCCAGAGGTTGCAGATTGGTGACCGCTGTCCCCAATTGGAACAGAAACAGCAACCCAGAGATATAGGTAACGGGCAGGGTGGCGGGCACAGAGCCGAGGATGATGATGAAGCTTCGATTGCGTCAGAGCCGACTTACCGAAACCAGGAGCTATCGACGACTCGTGTAGAGACTGGACAAAGAGTATCTTGTCGGGGGACGGTGCAGCCTCTGTCAAGTCAGAGGAGGCGGTGATAAGAGACGTTTAGCAAGTGAAAGGTGGCGAGACGAGGAGAAGCGGCTTCGAGGCCTGGAACGAGATGATTGGCGTCTTTTAGACTCAATAGACTCGGGTTATCATTAGAGTGATGGCGATTGGAGGACGACGAGCAGTGGGGGGTTCAGAATGCGGGCGTTACTAGTGACAATCAAGTCGTGCCAGGGCGACAGTTGTACCGGGCCACTCTTGAGTTAGCGGGATTTACAGTGGGCGGTGTGCCAAGGTTTAGTGTGTCGGTGCGCTCAAGGCCGCTACGCTAGTGCTTTTGCTGCTTAAATCCCCCCGTTCAAGCCTGCTAACCTGCTGTAGCGGCCCTGCCGATTTATTGTCTGTAAGGTGGTGGGGCTCAGGCACATGACCCAGTGGTTGCACACAGGCAACATAATGATGCACGCATCCAGGAGTGGCTTTGACTAGACTTGTTTCAGTCCCGACGCCTATAAAATGCATCACTGGGTTATCCAATTGAAAATTGTAGACGAGGATAATAATGCTATTTTTTTCCAGTATTGAAACCGGCTGATACTGATAATGATGCGACTCCTAGGTACAAACTGCCAACGTTGTAGGTATAAATGTACTTGTCGTGGCATCCCAAGAATCGCCGCCATCACGATAATCAGACCCTCCATCTGCTCCGACACGACATAATCAGAGACATCAACAGCCCTGCGCCCTTTCTAGGTACGGACTTCGGCGAATTGGCTGCTTGGTGGTGCATGGTGCGCTACGTAGAATCGTGAAGCAACTACGCCATCCGCTCTGCCAGTGGCGGACCGCTACCCGAGGCCGCTGTCCACGTCGAGGCTGGCGCTAAGACCAGGAAGAAGGCGATGGCGAAAGTGTGCAGATCATAGTGTGGGCTTTTGAGGGTATTATGGATCTTTCCTATGGCATTGGGATTTCCTGAAGCCCAGGCCTACTGAGGAGTCGATCATATGTAGCTAACTAGGAAGGGAGATGCCCTGTGATGCGAAGCGTGGGTTGAGTTTCACGGGATGTATGAGTGGGGTTACGCATAGAAATGTAGACAAGTTGATGTTCGAATAACGGTTTGTTCCAATTCCTAGCTTACCAGCTTGTGACCTTGTGAAGTATTTACAGCCCAACTGAAAATGTAACGGCCGCTGTTATATGGACTTGTTTCGTCTCTACATTCATAGTGTCTAAAAAGTCGCCTTCATTCATCGAAGCGTGATTGGTTTAGTGGTAAAATTCTCCGTTGCCATCCGCAACGTCGGGGAGCCCTGGGTTCGATTCCCAGATCACGCATCGCTCTTAATCTTTTGTTTTTTGCCATTTCCTCTACGTCGCTCTTGTTTTTCGCCTCGCGTGTATTTCTGCCAAATTTCTGCATGTGGCCGGAGGGACTTCGTTTTTTTTTTCTGGTGATCTAATTACTGGGTATTAGCTGGTTGTGGCAGCGCATACGACTTACATAGGTGTACAAAGACGGTACCCTACGTAGGTAAACAACGCGTTTTCATCCCATGACCAGTCCACCCGCCTCCCTTATCCAATAGGTGCCCACGTATATGACGACTGTACATTGCATTCATCGTATTAAGCTCCAATCTTGTAAATTGAAAGTTGTAAAAGCCATAGGTAGAAAAACAGCTTGAATGGCAATACCAGCGTAGCAGATGATCAGTGAGCAGACAAGAAAACAAAATACGTAGAAAATCCACGGGTTCGTCCCAGACGCCAAAAAAGCTATGCTTCAAGTAACGAAATGCATAGCCGCTCTTTATTCATTCCCAGCCAAAATAAAACATGGATTCATAGCGGGCAGCCCTCCGAGGTCCACGCGCTTGGCCGCCACCCGCGGGCTCCCCCACTCTCCTCTCTCCATTCTCCTCCTACATGCACTAGAGCAGTCGCGCATCGTAGTGTCGAATACATACAATAAGCCAGTCCGTATCGCAGCTTAGATGATCATCTGGGCGACACCGGCGCCGCCGAGCGTCTTGCTGCCGATGAAGGCCTGACCGCGAATGGCGGCAAGGAGGTAGCACAGGGCTGTGAGCATCAGGAACACGGCGAGGACGATGAGGGTGCTGGTATCGGTTGTGAGGCTGATCCATTGAATGGCGGACATGACGCCGTAGGCGGCGGCGCGCAGGTAGTTGGTGGTAATCTTGCGGACAAAAGCGTCAAACTTGCCAGACGTGGGGCAGATGCGCAGAAGGAAGGGCACCTCGATGAAGAGGATGAAGAGCGCCGAGGCCCTGTGTACGGGGCAAGGTTAGCTGCAAAACCGCGCGGGTGGAAAGAAGCTGTGTAACATACAGGGCAAAGGCGCAGAAGATGATCTTGAGGGGGTGAATGGTAAAGATGTTGGCAATGCCAAGCGCAACGCAGAGAATCATGGATAGAATTCCAAGCCTGGATAGCATATCAAGTTAGCATCGTGGTCTTTCGTCATCATGCGGTGGCCGTCCGTTCTGGGCATATTAATCTGGCTCGGGTTCGCCAAGAACAGATGATGTCGCGAGCCGCGGGTCGAAATAAGGAGAAAGACCTACCATTGCGCGTAAATGCCTGGACAAGGATGGTTAGCTACATGTACCGACAGAGAACTGCTCTATCTCAAATGGCGCAACGTACTGAAATTTCTTGTCTGAAACTCCTCCTTTAGCGTCATGGTGGGCGAGACTGTGTGTGATTGTTGTGGTTCGTGGGGTTTGGGTTGGTAGCTCGAAGCTTGGAGAGTGTCCTCTCGGCGACAGGGCGTTGGAGACGGCTTTCGGCGCGGACTGCAAAGACAGGCGGCCGTTGGTTTATGTTAAAGTATCAACGATGGATGAGATAGCGGCGAGGCGAGCGAATACGTAGTTGGATGCGGGCGCGTGACGGGACGGTGGTGGAGGGAGGAAGTTTTGGGAGCGTTTTTGAAAGGTGTTGACCCAGAGATTACGCAGTTGCGCACGTAGCCTCTTTGACTGGGTGAGGCTGGGTCAAGCTCTTGGGGTGGGCTGGGCAGTGCTAGGCGCCAGGTACCTCCACCCTGTTGGCACTTTTACCAACGGATGTCTCTGGCAGGACCTTGTCAATTGTTTTTGAATGCTATTCTTTGTCTACAGTATTTGGACAATTGTCGATCAGTTCCCGATGACAGAAGCAAGCATCCATCAAAGTACATGTTAAGAGACCCGTCTACCTTTGAGGAGGTACGTGCCGCACCTGCCTTGTTAGTGAATTTAACTTGGAGCCTGCCAGGCGGCGACATTCAGGGACCTGGAGGGCATCAGGTACCTACCAGGTAGGTGTATTTAGGTACGCGGTACCTCGTCCGCAGCGTGGTGACAGACCAACGCGCAGGTATCGCGACTCAGCCAGCGGGGCATCAGCTGCCGTCATCCCGGAGCCACGGCAGGTGTAGGTAGCTCAAGGCGCTTAATACAGCACATCAGGCCATTTCCGCAGCTACATGAGGCGGGCTGCAGTACCAATGTCGAAGTGTACTTGGAGATATACCATCCAAATATACATTGACTATGGTTGTAAACCGCTTCATTCGTCGATCAAGACACGTTTAAGTAAGATGCTCATATATACTGAAACTGGTTTCGTTGCAGACAGCTAGAGCCGTGTGTTTGATGGGTTTGGCCAAGCGGATGGGTTTGACGTTTGACCAAGCGCTGGAGCGGACAAACTGGTTACTAGTGACGGGAATGATGAATACAGCCGGTATTACAGGTCGCCGGGGATATCAATAACATTGATGAGATATGCGTTTCAATCGCATCATTATATCATAGCTGCGCTTTCTTCTGCGATGTGTATCGGTGACATACCGCCGATCAAGCGCCTCTCCTTTGCATTTCCATGGAAGCCGACAGCAAGCCGACGGAGCCGACGTGGTCCTATTTCACCATCTCATGCCTTTCAATTCTACACATTCAACGCCCTCGTAAATAAACCTTTAGCACCGCGTCAACGGATCCACCTCACCGCACACTACCTAGGTATCCAGGATAATGAAGTCGGGCAGCGCTTCTGCAGCCTGGCGGCCGAGCGGCCAAAAGGCTGCGGCTAGGCCAATTTTAGGTACAGTGGACTCACGTCTACATGACGCCTAGAGGAGCTCCCCAAGGGCCTAACATCGCCGCCACAGCGGGCTGCGAGCGGACCTAGCCTGAACCAAGCTTTGCGGCTACCATCCCTCTCCTTTTTTATTAAGCAATCGACTTCGTGACTTCGTCTCCTTCGTCCATCCCCTTCGACTTTAGGCTTCGGCGGCCTCCTTTTCTTCTTCTTCTTCCCCGCCGGGCTTTCTTTTCTTTTCATTTAGTTCTGTCGCATTGGTTCTACTCCAGAAACGGCCTCTAGTACTGCTCTCTCCGTCCTTGCTCCTTTCTGGTTTCTTGTACAGCCAGTGCTCGCCCCTCGACGACCTGGCACACGCTCCTTTTCCGCCACCTCCTCCTCGACGATAATGCCAGCGTAACCTGCTCCGGCCACACAGACTCTCCTTCTGCAAAAATATCAACTCTTTCCCTTTGCCCGGCATCTCGCATTTCGACCCCGGGTTTCGGCAGCGTACCCCACGCGAGCGCATTGCCGTCGTGGCCGTTCATCTCAAGCCACACATCTTTGAAACACCCCCCTTCAGCCGTGTGTGGCCGTGTTCTGGGCCTTCCGCAACCATGTCCGGAGTCATCAGCAAGCGCCAGCAGGCGCGTAATGAGAAGCAGCTTCATGAGCTAGTTCATACGGTCGCGGGCAACAACATCTGCGCCGACTGCTATGCGCGCAATCCAGGTATGTGACAACATGCACCGTGCATATCATTGAGCCGCTTTGAGCTAACGATTTCTAGCATGGGCATCTTGGAGTGTATGAACACCTTTCACTCTGTCCAAATGTCTATAACAAGACAGGACCTTGACCAATAGCTGATTTTGATCTTAGTTGGGAGTATTCCTCTGCATGCGCTGTGCAACCATCCACCGGAAGCTCGGCACCCATATTTCCAAAGTCAAATCGCTCAGCATGGATAGTTGGTCAAACGAACAAGTCGATGTAAGCCGTTCCAAATTCTAGATCTGAAAAGGCACCAGAAGCTCACAGAGGTACGCAGAACATGCGCAAGGTCGGCAATGTCAATTCGAACCAGATATACAACCCGGCGAACAAGAAGGCCCCTGTGCCAGTTGACTCTGACGAGGCCGATTCAGCCATGGAGCGCTTCATACGACAAAAGTACATACATAACGTGGCAGCCCAGTCCAGCAAGCCACGGAGCCCGGTCTCCGACGAGGGAACACCTCCACCACTGCCACCCAAGAACTCCAAGTTTGGCTTCCGCGCAGCCTTTTCGCGAAACAAAAATGTACCCAATAGGTCGGCTAGCGATTATGCACCGGTATCGCCTACGTTGACAAATAAACCCTCCAAGGTGTTTGGCGCCACCGTGGACTATGATGCTCCAGACGACACAGAGAAGAAGCTGGCCAAGTTGCGAGATATGGGCTTCCAGAACAACCAACGAAACTCTATCGTGCTTAAGGGAGTTAGTGGTGATGTTGAACGTGCTGTTGAAGCCCTCGTTCGGCTGGGTGAGGGAGACCAACCGCCCCCTGCGCCGCCCAAGGAAAAGACGCTTCGCGCGACGAGGTCCATGACACCTATGATACCCAACTCCGCGGGCCTAACAGGGGGCTTGACTGTCATTAAAAGATCCGAGACGGACCGCCCGATATCTTCTTCGACTACGTCTACGAACCCCTTTGACATGTTGAACCGCGCCCAACCTCAAACAGCTCACTCCACGGGCTCGCTGCAGAGTACCAACCCCTACAATATCCCGACGAATCACTTCGGCTCCATGTCTGCACAACCCAGTCCTATTGACCAGGTGTTCCAAAATCTGGCAATCTCTGGGCAGCAGACAGGGACTTCCTCCAATGGCGCAGGATTTTCGCTGCCGATGCCGCCCCAGCTCCCAATGTATGGGCATTCGGCACCGTCCAGCCCTCAACTGCAGCATGGATTGGGCTTGTCTCCCGGCGGCGGCAATTCCTTGCCCACTGGATATAATCCTTACTTTTCGCAGTCAGTGCATGCTATGCCACAGCAGCAACAGCAGCAGCAGCAGCAGCAGCCGCTGTATGGTACGCAAACTGGCATGACATTGAGCATGAACCAGATGGGCGGACAGATGGCATCGAACCCGTTTGTACGATCACCTACAAGAGTAGCTTCACCACCGCCGCTAGGCCAGATTTCGGAAACGGCGACTTTTAGCACGTCACCAATGCCACTGGCCTCACCTGCGACAAACCCATTCTTCAATACACAGACGAGGATGCCATCACCTGGTGTTCAGCAGCAACAGTATATGCAGCCACATCCACAAATGTACCAACAGCAGCCGCAGCAGCAAGTGTACCAGCAGCAGCCGTACCAGCAGCAGCCGTTCCAGCAGCAAGGGTACCTGCAGCAAGGGTACCAGCAACAAGGGTTCCCGCAACAAGGGTTCCAGCAGCAGCAAGGGCTTCAACAGCAGCAGATGTTCCAGCCTCAGCCGGCCTATCAGCAATATCAAGCTCCTCGATATGACAAAACATCCATCATGGCGCTGTACGGTCAATCTTCAAAGCCGCAACTGCAGGCTCAAGCGCAGAGCATCCCGGAAAACCAAGCAGTGGATGCTTTTGCAGCGCCAAGCATGTCTGCAGGATTTCAACAACAACGCAGCGCATCGCAGCCGCTACCCGGAACGAACCCGTTTGCGGCCATGCAGCAAGCTCCCACAGCGCCGGCTGGGGCTTCGGCGGAGGCATACAAGACTGGGCGGCAAATCAGCCGCGAGAGTGTGAATCTGGGGCTGGACATGGCGTGGGCCAACAACGGGCGGCACAGCCCGGATGCGTTTGCAAGCCTGAGCGCGCGGCATGTATGATATTAATGAGTATAGGATACAACCATAATTACAATGTGTAATCAAAAGGGTCATGCGGACTCGAGTTGAAGGTGCAGTGACGTCAAAGTAGTCCAAGAAGACGGTGAGATGGTGTGAGACACGTAGTTTTGATGCACGCGAGAAGCAGCTTATTGGTACACGTTGTGCTGATGTGTTTGCAGTGGCGTAGGTGGCAACCGATATTACTGAGACAGTGGTGAAGGGGCGCGGACAATCTGGGGAATGGTAGCGACGGATGACCATAATGAGGCCAATTCAGCAAACAATAGAGGCGAAGGTATTGAGGAGCACCAATTGTTTCAGGTTGGCCTTCTTTTGGCACCGAACCCCGTGTCATCCGTTGCTCTGGCTCGCGACTGTAAAACGGGCTTGGGACAGTGTGTCTTGGCGGTGCTAGATGACTGGTAGATTCCAGCGAGATGTAGTTTAGGGTCCTTTGTATTTCCTGTATGAGTCCAAGGTGTGAAGGTACATGGGCTCTTCCGCTCCGCGGCAGCCGAAATGGCGCCAGTACCCCGCTTGGCCGCTAGCCTGAATTTGCTGCAGCCTTCCTCCACCAGCGCCGTGCAGCCGGGGTGTGGTCAGCAGACCATGGCACCATTTTATTAGGAGCCTCTGGTCCGCCTCGGTGTCTTTCTCTCTCCCTCTTTCCAATCACCAACATTTCCACACCACACCAAGTCCGCCCCAAACCGCTTCACACTGCTCCAAGGCATCGTCACTTGTGACTGCTATACGGCTGCACTTGCGTACCAGGATTCAATCCGAAAAATCAAAAGCTCGCCAACAACCAGACTTGATTGTCAAGACCAATTAAAAAAAAATCGCCACCGCTTACTCACCGACCAACCACTCCACCGCAAACACCACCAGGATCAACTTCGAGACGCAACCCTGGAAATCATCAAGAATGTCGCCCATGAATAAACAGAGTAACTACAGTAGTAGTAATTGTGGCGAGGACGTTGCTGCCCAGGTCAATGTCCTTGCCTCATGCTACATCGTTGGTACCGCGGCCCAGCTCAAGGGCCTCCACTACTGCACTACCGGGGTTACAGGTAAGAGACCCTCAGCTTCTCGAAAAAGAAGCATCTATTGACATGACCATCGTAGGGGCGGAGTGGTATTCCTGAGGTCCCTACCTCAGGACTCCCATCCCCACCAACAAGCCCCCCCCTCGCCGCCATAACCTCATCCAACGAACTCGCCCTCTTGCCCAAGCAAAACAAGAGGCGCGACATCCCAGGCGGCCGCCGCCGGGATCGGCGAGGGGGGGCAGCACTCGTAATCAGGGAAGAATGTGAGAGATTCTTTTGCGAGCCCATGAAGACAGCATTCCGCGGTGAGAGGAACCTGTCGATGCATGGCTCCGGCCTGAGCGGTGCTTATTTGCAAACGCCACCACCAGAGAACCAGCTGCGCGCCCGTGCCGACCGCAGTGACGGCGCCTTCTCTGAGTCGGACAACCATTTCTTTGCCAGCGACGACGCTGCGCCGAAAGGCGGCTTCGAAGTCGACGCCTGGATGGAGGTATGGGACTATGGCGGTGGCGCCAGCTTCCGCGCCTTCCTGGCCAGCAAGGACGGCAGAGAGAAGTCTCTGTTCGTCTTTTTTGACCTCCAAGGCGTCGCGGGGCGCGATTTGAAGAAGGCCTTGATGGCGCTCATCGAGCTCGCCGACGGCCCGCTCGGCTGCGTCAGCATCGTGACATGCATGGATCGTCGCATGCCCGTCGACGAAGCCCTCGAGCTAACCAAGAGCCTCCAGTGGGTCGGTTTCGAGATGACGACCCTCGACCACTGGGCCAACGACGTCGACGTCACAAGCCACCAGTGGCTTTTCATGGGCATGGAGCTCTAGATGTGATGTTTTGGAAGCTTATTTGATTTGCCTGCCAGTCTTTCTGATTTGGCAACTCTTGCACTTGGTGAAATACCGACTTTGTTTTCTTGTTTCGTCGTGCTTCGGAGTCAATTGAGCAACTTGTTATATCTGTTTCTTTCCTGCGCGTCTTTTCCAGTTTGGTCGTTTGTGAGTTTCCTTGCGACCTGGTTGCTCAAGGAAGTATGAGATGCACGTTCAGCTGGCGTAAGAAACATATTCTATTGAGACTTTAGATTGAACTTGATATTCTTCACAATTGTTTACTCTGATGTATGATGAGCCAGTCATGCGACGGATGACATAAAAATGTAGCTTTCATTTCGCAGCGCGAGTGCCTCCCTTGTGCGTGTCTATAACATAAACCCCGGAACCCATTCCTATTTTCCGTCATAATCAACTTGCCAACCCTTTTGTTTGCCCTCTTTTGCCCTCTTTTGCCCCTCGTCTTTTTCACGAGTGCCCCAAGTCATCCTCCTCAAACTTTCTTACCACCAGGCCCTGCGCGTCCAGGTACTCCTTGACCTGACGCACCGTGTACTCGCCCCTGTGAAACATGCCGGCGCCGAGGGCGGCGTCGGTGGTGGACTTGCGAAAGACCTCGTCAAAGTGGGCGGGCACGCCGGCGCCGCTCGACGCGATGACGGGAATGTTGATGGCGGCCTTGACCTGGGCAATCAGCTCGAGGTCGAAGCCGGAGTTGGTGCCGTCGCGGTCGATGCAGTTGAGGAGCAGCTCGCCGCAGCCCATGGCCTCGACGGCCTGGGCGAGCTCGACGACGTCCATGTCGCGCGTCTCGCGGCCGCCCTTGATGGTGCAGGCGTACCAGCAGTACGGCTCGCCCTTGGGGCCGGGGAACTTGGTCTCGATGAGCGCGTGCCGCGTGGCGTCGCGCTTGGGCACGTACACGCGCTTGGGGTCGACGCTGACCACGACGGCCTGGTTGCCGTAGGCGCGCGAGATTTGCTCAATCGCCGTGTGGCCAAAGAGTTTGCGGCCGAGGGCGTAGTACTCCTCGGCGGCGATGACGGCGTCGGAGCCGACCGACACCTTGTCGGCGCCGGATTTGAAGTACATGGTGGCAATCTCGAGGGCCGTGACCTTGGTGCCGTCCGTGTCGACGGTGTCGCGGATGCCGCCGCCGACGGTCAGCGGGACGAAGACGGTGCGCGAGGCCTGCCGCAGGATCTCGAGCATGGGCAGGTCGGCGAGGGGGCAGTCGCGGAACGAGGTGATGTTGAGAAAGGTGATTTCGTCGGCGCCGTCGTGGTAGTAGCCGCGCGCCATGTCGACGGGCTTGCCGAGGTTGCGGACGTGGTTGTCAGGCCCCTTGTCGCGCACGTCGTACTGGTCGCCCTTTGTGACGACGAGGTCGCCGTGATCGTTGGCGCGGACGTCGAGGCAGGCAATGATGCGCCTTGTCAGGCCATCCTGCGCGGCAGTCGCGGCCGGCTGGGCTTCGAGGGGCGCGCCGAGGCTCTTTGCGCCGGCGCCGGAGAGGAACGCTTGAATAGTGCGCAGACCGGCGACGCCCGACTTCTCAGGGTGAAACTGCGTCGCAAAGACGTTGCCCTTGGCAATGGCGCCGACAAACGTCTCGCCGCCGTACGTGCCGGTGGCGACGGTCCAGCCCTGGCTCTCGAGAACGCCGGGGGTGTAGGGGCACTTGTAGCTGTGGACGTAGTAGTATTTGGAGCCGGCGCGGAGGTCGTAGACGGCGCGGCCGCGCGTGTCGGCGTCGTTCCAGCCAATGTGCGGAACGGGCTTGTCGGCGTCGGCGAAGCGGTCGAGCGAGGCGGCGACGACGCCAAGACCGGGCACGTCGGGGTCCTCGGCGGAGCCCTCAAAAAGGGCCTGCAGGCCGACACAGACGCCGAAAAAGGGCTTGCCGGCGGAAATGTGCTGTCGCACGGCAGGCAAGTAGCCGGCCTGGGAGAGCTGGGAGAGGCAGTGGCCGAAGTGGCCGACGCCGGGGAGGATGAGCTTCTGCACGGTGTGTTGGTCAGTGGGCAGGCTGGGGGGTTATGAAAGTATCGCAACGGGCCGTACCTCGGCCTTGGGCACGTCTTCGGGGGACGTGATCCACTCGACTTGGTATCCTAGCGTTTCTATGGCGTTGACTAGACTGCGAATATTGCCCGCGACATAGTCGAGCAGGTGAACGGTCTTGGACATTGTTGTGTTTGAACGGGTTGTGGCCTCGTCGCGGGGTTGTTGGCGCGGGGCAGGCAGCCGCAGGGTTGACAGGTTCGGAGTGACGGCGAGAAAATTCGATGAGAGCGAGCTATTGTGACGCCTGCAGAGGCACGGAGGCGAACCAGGCACGGGTTGGGGGGTATTTGGATTGTCGAGTGCAAGGATGAGAGGGATAAACAGAGTGACTCAAGGTTTGGGCTTGTCTATCACAAGGGCCCCGAATTTGCGCTCCGGATAGCGGGGCAGTCGTTCATTTCTGGATGACGAAAAAAAAAACTTGGGTCCTGCATCGGCGGCCCGCGCTGGCAATCTCCACACTAGCAAGTTCAGAGCTACATCAACATGAGCTGAGGAAGGAACCGGAAACGGCTCTGCGATTGGCATGTTCTTGCATGAAAGTGCATTCTCCCGCCTGAAGCTACTACGCAAACCGCTTCGAATGCGACGCGACACGACATCACGCTGAGACGCGCCGACCACTGGCAGGCAGCAGCAACAATGGCAGAAAGCTCAGGCATTGCCCAGGACGAGACGGGCTCCTTGGCCTTTGACGAGGTCCTGCAGCAGATGGTGCAGGATGATCAGGAGGAGTGGGAATACGAGTACTCGACTACCGAAACCGAGGTAAGTGCATGCTCATCTGAGCAACGAGCGCTCGCTAACGCCCAGTCCGCGCGCAGACGTATTACCTTCCGCTGGAACTGTCATACCCCGAATTCAAAGGCACTTCAGCCAAGATGAATATACACTCGCGAGGCGGATACTACAAGAACTGGCAGGACACACACGTGGGTGGCAACGCTGCCGCCACGCGTCCGCCTGTCGGTGCGGCGGGCGAGGGCTCTCGCGGCAGCGCGCAGATCAAGGACGAGGACAGCAGCAACGACGAGGCGCAACCCGAAGACGACGGAGGCGCCATGATTGATCCGTCTTTGCGCGCCAAGGGTAAGGCGCCGGCTCGAGCGGCCATTGATTTGACGCGCGCATCGACGAGGGAAGCAACGACAGAGCCGGCTGCGCCTGGGAACGACCCTCTACAGATCGAGTGGCCTGAGCTACGAAACGAGATTCAAATATTAGAGTTGCACTCGGACCACCCACTGATATCCTATCGTGGACGGTTATTCGAGGGCGAGTGGGCCGAAATCATTGGCACCGAGACGCTCTTTGTGCGGCACGACGCCAACGCCAACGCCGACGCGTTGCCGGCGCTGCGGCGCGTCCCCGGCGACATTGATCTGCTGGGCGCAGTGTCATCGCGGATCGTGACGCGCGAAAAGACCGCGACGGCGCGGGCCAAGGACCAGGCGGACCCGCTGGCGGCCGCGCGCGCCGAGTTTCACATTGCGGTGCCGCCGGGCAAGGACCGCACGGGCGCGCGGCAGCAGCAGGCACGCTTCCTCGAGAACCTAATGGCAGTCAAGAAGATGAAGGGCCAGACGGACGACGTGACGGTGTACGCGCTCGACGGCGACGGCAAAGACTTTGATGATACCAAGGCGCCGGACTTTAAGCCGCGGCGCAAGAGAGTGACGGTGGGGGACACGACTGGGGGGAGGAGAGGACGGCTGGCGGCGGCGAGACGGGGAAAGCAGAGGGCGGTGCGGGAGCCGGTACGGTCGACGCCGACGCCGGCGCGGTGGGGGGACTTGGATGAGGAGGAGGAGGAGGAGGAGGAGGAGGAAGAGGCGGGTGAAGCGATGGATGAAGATGAGGATTATGATGTGTCTATGGGTTAGAAGGCGTGCGGCGTACGAATTTTCAAGATATTAGGTAGGAAAGCCATGTATAGTAGTGACGTTTTATGTACAAGGTCAAAAAGCCATTGCAGGCAGGTTATATGGGGTAGAAATAGCCATCAAAGTTACGGAGTATTTCAATGGGATTGCTTGCCTACATGGCTGAGACACCTTGCCTGTCACAGTAGAGAGGCGCTCACTATTTCTCACTCCCTTGACCACCAGATATACCACCGGTACCTCAAATTTCTATTCTCGTAATTTTATTGAATATTATCCACTGCTTTTCTCGTTCTCATTCTTTATCTCCTCGTACTCGTACTCCTCTTTAGTTACTAGCGTGGTACTTGGTACCTGACCCCACTTCCTCGCCCTAGCCACTCGGCTTCGTTCCTCAACCCACCAGCCTCAAACCGTCACAGCCACCAGCGGCGTCGCATCCAATCACCCAATCACACTCCTGCAGGCTGCCAGATGGCGATTCAGCAGACCACAAGTCACACACCGTCCTTCTTGGCCCACCCATCCCAACCGTTCCCCTACCTAACTCTTCCCTACCATCGGTCACGTCTCCCTCGACAACGTGGGCCAGTCTCGTCTCTACAGGCCGCCATCATCTCTTATCCAGTCTCTATTTCTTACTCGCCTAGCCATCTATATCCGTCACCTCTTTTCCCTCAGCCTACTACTGCGCCTTGTGCTTCGTCTTTCTCCACCGGGCGCTCGGGGAGCCACATCCCAGGCAGAAAAGGCGGTGCGCTCGCACACTCCCGTCTCTACAAAATCTCTCGTCATCGGCATCTTCCTCGCCCCGTCTGCACCTCTTCTCGACATACCTTTGCTCGCCTCTGACCTCTTGACCATCAGCACATATCCGACCAACCATGAGGTAGCGCAAGCTTGCCTAAACTAGACTGCATCCGCTTGTTCCGGTCGTTACCCGACGCAAATCTTCAGCACCCTAGCCGCCGGTCATTTTCACTCTTGGACACTGTTTCCTTTGCCTTTTCTTTGCATATACACATCGCGCCAGTACTATGTATTGGATAGACCGCATCGTCATTGCGACGATTGCCTTTGCCGTCCTCGTCTACGTCCTCTGGGCCGCCCCACGCTACCTCGATCCCACTGGGAGCGACCCCGTCAAGCAGGACCGCGACCGCCGCTGGGTCAACACGAGTCCCTACTTTGTCGACCGCCAGGCCTGCCGCTGGCTGACCCTCTGCGGTCTGCACCACCTCCGTGCCGACCCGGCCCGTCGCGACTACCGCCACAAGAAGCACGGTGGTAATGGCCGCCTGCCGCCCCCACCCGATGTCGGCGGCGGTGGTGGTGGTGGTCATCACAAGCCTACGTCCCGCCGCGATATCCCCGACTTCGTCTTCAAGCATGCACCGCTCGTTCACCTCTACTCGGGCGAGCAGTTTTGGCCCTCGGATATGCGCGACCACATCACACACATGGACATCCAGCTCAACTCGACCCTCGTCGACGACGCCGCGCCCTGGGATCTCGACAGCATGAGCAACCTCAACAACCTTGACGGGAGCGTCTTCCTCTACAGCAAAAATGACGTCGAGAGCCGCCCGCCCTGGCTGCATAGCCGCTACAACGTACCCGCCGCGTTCCCCGCCGACGCCGCCGACGCGGAGCCTGCTGCGCTCGATGAGACAGCGTCCGCCACCACCACGCCTCACCACCCCCACACGCGGCCTTCCACATATGGCCAGTCGCGGGCTGTGCACAATCTGCCGACGCAACAAAAGGTTCTGGCCGGCGCCGCGCATAAGCAGCAACAGCAGCCGCTGGCGCCGCAGGGTCACAAACCTGACGCCCACGGCTACTCCGCCGCGCCGGCCGTCCTCGTCCTGGTCGACAAGGAGGACGGCATACTGGATGCCTTCTGGTTCTTCTTCTACTCGTACAACCTCGGACAGACAGTTCTCGCCATGCGCTTCGGCAACCACGTGGCCGACTGGGAGCACTGCATGGTGCGCTTCAAGCACGGCGTGCCCCAGGGCATGTACCTCTCCGAGCATGAGGGCGGCCAGGCCTACGCTTGGGAGGCCTTGGAAAAGCGCAACGTAACGTTTAACGGCGTCCCCGACGCGGCCGAGCGCCCCGTCATCTACTCGGCGACGGGCTCCCATGCCATGTACGCCACACCTGGCGACCACGCCTACATTCTGCCCTTCAAGATGCTCAAGGACGTGACCGACGAGGGTCCCCTGTGGGACCCGTCCCGCAACCACTATGCCTACTTTTACGACTATCAGTCCGACGACGACTTTCACCCCGACAGTACCCAGCCGCTCCTCCACGCCGCCGGCCCGGCCTCCTCTGACAAACCAGAGAGCCTTACGCCGGCCGCCACCAACCCTGACGCGCCCACGTCGTGGTTCCACTTCCGCGGCCGCTGGGGCGACGGCGTCTACCCGCTCGCCGACGTCCGCCAGTGGCGCCTCTTTGGACAGTACCACTACGTGTCCGGTCCGCAGGGCCCGAAATTCAAAAACCTCGGCCGCCAGAAAATGTGTCTGGCCAACAAGTGCCGCATTCGCCATGAGCGTGACGGCTCGGGCACGTGGTATTGATCTGGCCAGAAGACGGGATGACATGTTTTAGAAGAATGTTATAGAGCAGCAGCCAGTGAATGGCCCCATTCAGGAATGGAGAAGAAAGAAAGCCTGCCCAGAGACGAATTGTTCACTCCTTTTTTTTATACCCCCTCCAGCTTTGCATATTGTTCTTCCTTGTTGGATTGATGAGCGAGAAATGAAAACAAGAGACGAAGAACACCAAACTCACAGAATTATTATACTTGCATAGAAAAGAAATATCTAGAATATACAGATTACAGTTGGATAGAATATCAACATGATAGCCTCAAACGGTTCCATACGAAACTGATGCGCGACAAAAGTGGTTAAAGCTGGTGAGTAATAGAGTCAAGTTGTGGAATTGGTTCTTGTTATATATCTTTTGTATACATGCCAGTCCAACACTGACAAACTATTGGAGTTGAAATGTCGCTTTCGCACATGCCCATGCTGAAAAAGAAAATCTTGCCACAGCTATGTAAAACCCCATCCTCCATATAAAACCTCCCCTCCATATATGTCCCATGGTAATATGTCTCATAACCTCCATACAAACCACCCAAGCCACCGTCCCTTCCAAACATGTGCCTTTCCAAACATGTACCTTTCCAAACATGTACCTTTCCAAACATGTACCTTTCCAAACATGTACCTTTCCAAACATGTACCTTTCCAAACATGTACCTTTCCAAACATGTACCCTAGATACCCAGAAACAAAAGTCCCTCCAGAAACAAAAGTCCCTCCAATTCAAAAAGATTGCTAGTCTTCATGAATCAGAAAATCTTCCTCGTCGTCCTCATCCTGTTTAATCCTCTGTGTGCTCGGATACTCGCTCGGCTGGCTGCTATGATCGCTCTCCTGCACGGGCCCGCTGGCGTTGGGATCGATATTCTCCGCGTCACCGGAGCGTTGCAGCGGCGCCCCGTCTTCGATGCCCGGCCAGGGCTCGTCCTCCGGGGGCATCCCCGACCAGCCGGATCCCGCCAGAGGCCGCAGCGGGTGCTGTTGGGCATCCGTCACCATGTCCACGACATTTGTGTCATCGTCCTCGTCGTCTTCGTAGTCTTCGTCCGACGCGCTGTTGTAGATTTCAATGTCGTCGCCGTCGTCCATCAACATCGGCGTCGGCGGGGCCACCGTGGGACGACTAGTACTGCGTTGGCGATAGTATGGCTGGTCAACCTCGAAGCGGACTACGCTACCACTGCGCGCGCGATAGCCGTTTTCTTGCTGCGGCGCGGCGTTGCTGTGAGGCGTGGCGTAGGCAAATGGTGTAATACCGCGATTCGGTTGACGGTCCTGAGGACCGCCCCAGGGCATAGGACTAGGGGAATGTGTCCAGCGCGGCGTGTATAGGACATTGCTAGGGGAGCGGGTGCTGCGGCCATTTTTCATGATGCCGCCGCTGACGTTGATGCGCATGGCAGGGGATGCTCGACGGCTATTCATGGAGACGCGCCGCTGGTTGTCGACGGACGTGTGGCGGGCAACGGGCCCGGGGGCCGAAGCGGTGCGGTCATGTGGCGGGCGAGAAGACGACCGTGGGCCAAAGGGCTGGTTGTTGTTGGCCATGGGTGAGTGTTCGCGGACGACGGCAGGACTCTGCGACCGCCAGCGTTCAATGAGCGGAAAACGGGCGTGTGAGGGTGAGGCGGTGGCGCGGGGCCTTGACTGCCGCAGGCTCATCGAGGTGTTGACGTTGGGGGGCTCATCCATGGTTTCGCTCCAGGACCAGTGCTCCTCGAGAGCGTCGGCCTCGGGCACCTGCTGGGACTCGTCAAAGTCGGGGTACACACGCGTCAGCTCGCGGACGCGCTGCCAGGTCCAGCCAGCCTCGTAGGCCATGTAGTCTTGTAGATAGGCGTCCGAGTGGGTGATGAACAATCTAGGTTCAGACGACCGCATCATGACGGAGCTGAGGAACTGAACATCCCACAGCGCGGGCGTCACCATTTCAGCGGGGCTCAGAAAGCGAAGGCGCGAGTCGCGGTGAATTTTGCGCAGCGGGAGCCACGACGACTGTAGACCAAGGTAGTTGCCATAGCGGGGGTCCGTGTCTTGGCGGCGCGGTAGGATCTGCATCTCATTGAAGACGCTGCCAAAGGCCGAGACGACGGCCATGTGCACGCTGCGGGCGTCGGGGCCGTGGACGGAAATGGTCTTGACGAGTCCGCGGCTGCGGAGGCGTTTGTCAGTGACGCTCTTGTCGCCGCAGGCTTTGGGTAAAAGCCACTCGGCGTCGTGATCAGGCGTGGCCCAGTCGCCAAAGACGGGAGACTGTGACCGAAACATGGCGGCGCTGTTGGTTTGGGGAACTTGCGTCCACTCGTCATTGCTGAGAGTGGGGTCCTGTTTGAACTGGTGCGTGTCTTGCCATAACTTCTTGAGAGGAAAAGGTAAAAAGACAGCCTCTACCTCCCAGGGATGACTGTTGGAGGGTAGGAAGGAATGTAGTTGGGAGACTTGGGACTGAAGAATCTGCAGCTGGTTGGCAAGGTCGTGGGCACTGGCTGGGCGGGAAGTAGTGCTCGTGGCAATGGAGATGATACTAGCAGTAGCTCCATCGTCATCCTGACGTTCCCGGCGACTGACAACAGTGTCATTGTCATTGGCAACTTTCTCTAGATCTTCGACTTTGCTTTCCAGATCAGTGATGCGCAGGTCCAGATGCTCATGCTTGTCTACACAGTCGTCGTGGGCGGCGACGGCAGCGAATGAGCCCGTCTCAAGCTTGTCCAGCCTCTGCTCATGGCCAGTCAAGGCGTCGGATATATTTCTGAGGCCTTCCTTGGAAGCTAGATTGCGTTCCAAGGCACGTGGCTCGGCAATGGTGGAGACACCAGTCATGGGGGTTCCGGGGGGTTGCTCGGCGGGAACTTGCTGGGTGACTTGGCCATTTGAGGCGCTCGCCTGGCGCAGTGGTGATTGCTTGGGTTCTTTTACAGCACTGAGGGTGTGCAGGCCCTTGCCGGCGAATGGGCGAAGGTACCTGTTCTGCACTGATGACGTCGTGGAGGTTGTCTTTTGAGAAAGGAGGCATTGGGGCGGTATGTGAGGCAGAACGACTTGGTCGCTGTCTGAATAGACAAAATCGCCCCAGTTGAGGGTGTCTGGGAGTGACGGGGCGGCGGGATGAGCCATGCTGGGGGCATTCGTCATCTCCATATCGTCGGGGAAGTCGTTGAGAAAGGACAGTGGCGGGGGCCCTGGGGACAGATTGGCCATGTCGAGGCCGGGAATGGCGGGCGGCACCTTGAAGGACAAGTCAACGACGGGGCTGAGCGGCTCACGACCTGTCAGCTTGGGCCTCTCGTTTTCCTGGCCGACGACGGGTGTAGGGGGCGGGGCGGCGAAGGCTCCGAGGGCCTCGTCGGGTGGGCGCTCGTCGTGGAAGCAGGCATGATGGTTGCACATGCACCAGCCGGCCTGACCTAGAGCGACATTGTCGGCGGCGTGGAACTTCCAGAAGCGTCGGCAGCCACATCGGGGGCCGGCGGTGCCAGGCGTCTGGTCGACAAAGTTGCAGCCGCCGCGGGGCATCGAAGAGAGGTTGCGGGTCGGGGCATTGTCGGTGTATACGTCGAAGAGCCTGGAGGGGGAGTTGAGAAAGGGAGTGGTGGCCATGGCAGCGAATTGTGCTGCCGTGGCATGCTAGGAAGACGCTCGTGTTGAGGGTTGGTCTCTTTGCAGCGAGGCGAGGAGCGATGTTTGGAGCGGGAGGTTGCGGAAAGTCGTTTAGTCGTTGCGGCGTCAATTCATGTGATGGTGGTGGTGATAAATGGTAAAGGCGATGCAGTACGGGGATGCGATGGTCGAACAGGGAGATGCTGTAGTATAAGGATACTCGTGGCGAGATGGCTGTATGTGGCCAGTAAGCCCAGCTACAGTGCGCAGCTCATGGTCGCGGGGGCGGGCGGACGAGAGAAGAAGAAAATGATGGGAAGCTGGCGTCGCGGGCGCGAGCGTGGGGATGCAGCTTATATAGGTAGGTAGGTAGGTAGCTGTCGTGCGCTGGCTTTCCGGGCTGGGGAGGGCGGCGGAGAGAAGCGGCAATACAAGGAAAGCCGAGCGCGTGAGGGTGATGGGGGTGTTGAGGAGGAGGAAGAGTAGGCGTGGGAGAAGAAGAGAGAGGAAGAGGTGATGATCCCTCAGCCAGCTGGCTGGCGCTTCTCGATGGGCTGGAGGGTGGTGGAGGTGGAGGAAGCAAGGTTAGCGGGAAGCGGGTGGCCGCGGGGGGGGCACTTGTGGTGTCGAGTAATTCGTACAGTACATACCTAGGTAGGTAGGTAGGTATACAATGATACAATCAATGTACGTACAAACGAGACGAGACGGGCAAGTGGGTTAACATTATGTGCCTACGTCAAGGTATAAGCTACCAAGACGTGCACTTGATGTGTGTCTTTTTCTGTGCCATCTTTCGTTCCTCCGAGTACATACTACTTGGGCAAGGTACTGATCGAGTTAGAGGCCCGGCATAGTACCAGTCTACCTTAGTAGGTTTCTTTACCGCTTTCCAGTCTACATACAAAGCAATTTGCTAGACAACGGCCAGAGCCAACCAACGTTAGCTGGCCGTCGACCGACGACATGATGCCGCCCAGCCTTCCTCTTGAAAAGTCACACACAAACAAGCCCTGCCTCATAAATCATGACTCGACACGAGGCAGCCTCCAGCCTTGAGATCTATCGCTTCATGCCACCCCTCCACCTCCACACAACCACCACAATCACCATATGTCGCGCGCCATGCTTGCTTTTTTACCAAAATGACAACTACGAAATCCCCCAGAGTATCCATCACGTTGCCCTGTCGTCGGCCCGCGTAACACGTCGACCCCATCCCGGGCCAGCATACAAATTACAAGAAACACACAGACTCCTCGAGCACAAGCCATCGTTTCTGCGTGCGTTCCCCCACCCGCTTCCGCACCGTTACCGCGGTCTGCACCACTTGCCGCCCCTCTCCGACATCTCCAACATAGTACCTACACCTATATCCGTACATCTACACGTTCCCTCGTTCCCTCCACCCGCACAGCGCACACCACCATCGACACCTCCCACATCCGAGACCACAACCTCTGCCTCCCTGACCACCCGGCGCGCCCAATGCAAGGCACGATGCCCACCTTCTACATCCGGCGACACCTTCAGGCCTGCGTACGGAGAACCGACCTATGCTTCTGCTACAATTTCAACACCGGCATGCTTATACATTACTACACACAACCGTACACCGACGGCGGCGCAAAGACGCTGCGCGCGTTACAAAACTGACCAGCTAGGAAGACGATGAAAACTTGCGAAAAACTTGGGACCGAGTGGCCTTGTACTACATACCCATACATGTTCGTTGATGCCTCGCGCGTAGTTCATGTCAGGATAGCGCCGTCACACGCCCCCCCCTTGCATTCAACGCTCCTCGTCAAACCTATTATAGTTACACCATCCATTTCTGTGACTCAGAAACCACGCCGTCGTCGTCGTCGTCGTTACAAAAAAACATGCGCTACAAAAACGCACATCCATCTAGTTATGCATGACTGAGAACCTGAGAACCCAAACCAAGCTCACCGCCCCCAACCCCCCATCATTCACCAGACCATCACCAGGTTCTTGCGCACACACCCAACAAGAAACAAACGGTCCCGCCAACTTCTTTTATTGAGTCATCTTGTAATTGATACCCCCCACCACCACCTGGTGCGCAATTGTGTCCATACCGGGAGGCGTTTCGTTGCGCCGCCCGCCCTAGGTAGTTTATCTGGGGGCGACGAACAAGGAAGGCATCGAGCATGGCTTGTACGGCGGCTCATTTACGAATAGCCCTCAACTCAAGCTTGGATCTGTAAACACGAGCGGCCCGACTGTACAGGTTCATTCGGCTAATTATGATGATCGGCAGGTGACGAGAGATGCAAGTAGAACAACTTCAAATTATTCTAAAAAATTGCGCCGATAAATTTCATGGGCGGTATGTATATATATGTATATCTTTGTTTTCTGTATGCACAAGCTGATAACCCATTCAATGTTGAAAAGTGCCATAGCAATGGCCAAGAACAAAAACATGCAGGTAATGCGCAAATAGAAGTGAAAAAGAGAAACGCCCTTCTTTGCTAGTGTACATAGCCCCTTGTCGGCCAAATATATTCATCATGTTCCGTGAAAAAGCGGCCTACATCACCTCCCCATTCAGACCTCTCCCCAGCTACCCACGGGACCTTGCGGTCCAATCATGGAGCCAGTGCCGAGAGAACCGCCGATATCCCAGTAATGCCGCGACGACGTGCTGCTGCGTCGGGCTGACCGGCGGGTGCTCTGGCTGGCGCAGCTACTGCGCGGCCGCGCCGCAATCGGGCTGCTCGGCGTAACGGCCCTGAACGGCCGCCGCTCCATCGGCCGTGCGCGCGCAATCAGAGGATGATGCTGGCGCACACGGGCCACGCGTGCCGCCGCATCCTGCATGCTAGTCGTCGCCATGTGTGCCGGCGCGTTGCTGGGCGTGTTATTGCGCGATGTGAAGCGAGAGATGAGGTAGCGAAAGACGAGCTTAATATCCAGATCCCGCTCCCACTCGTCCTTGGTGAAAAGGCCGCTGTCCTCGGACTCGTCCTTGGTCTTGCCGGGGATCGGAATGGGCTGCGAGTGGCGGTCCAGTGTGGGCTTGAATTCGGGCGCAGAGGGTGCCGCGCTGGGGTGATCGACGCTGGCTTGGTCAGCGGCCTCGGGAATCGCGGGCAGGCCGGCGTAGGGAAGCGGCATCTGCTGCATGCGCGAGTAGGTCGAAAAGGCGCCAGGGTGGTGCGGCGAGAGGTGGTTAACGAGCCGTCCCAATTCGCGCGACACAGACTCGAGAATCCGCAGCTGCCAAGACTCTTCGTCGAGTGACGTCAACGGCGGCGGCGTGTTGAGCTGTGAGGCGCGTGGCGTGTTGGACAAGTCGTCTTCGTCAACGACTGCCTCGCCGAGTAGGATGTCCAACAGCTTCTCGTCGATGCCAAAGATATCCTTGACCACGGTGCGGGTGATGCGGGCCAGGAAGCCTCGGTCTTCGCCAGACGCCTCAGTGGCGGTGGCATCATCTTCATCGTGCCAGGTCATGTTATCGTCAGCTGATTGGGACTGATGGCGGCGATGCATCGATACAAGCGACTTGCGGCGGCGTCTGGTCTCGCGCTGCACCTCGTCGAGAAGCACGCGGCTATGCTCCAGGCGCCAGGCCTCGATTCGCTCCCGCTTCGCCGACTCCTGCACCTCACCTGCGGCACCTGTTTCCATGTAGGTATCGTCGGCAGTGTCAACTCGTAATCTCTTGGGGTTGAAGCGCTCAAACTGGTAGATTTGCTCCTGCGCATCCCGGCCCAGCGTGGGTCTGTCGAGACGAAATGAGCCCAGACCGTCGTGGGCGGGGAAGACAGGCACGGCGCCGTGCATGGTGTTTCTGTGAGAGGCGGCATGGTCCCCAGGTTGAGAGCGGAATTCAGGCAAGTGGCTATCAAGGCTGTCGAGTTCCGCATCATCGTCAACGGATATGTCGTCGATGGCAGAGGAGGCGAGCGATAGTCGAAAGTCGTCGGTGGGGGAGGATCTCGCGGCCGTGTGGACGCTTCCCAGGCCGCTGGCCCGCGAGCGGCCAGGCGTATCGACCGAGTGGTCAGTTTCGCTAAGATATGAGGCGGTGGTGACGTCTGTCGGAGGGGAGAAGAGCACCCATGATGTCTGCGACTGGTCCAGTGCTCTCTCCTGGAGGGCGGCAGGCGGCTGCTGGGTGGGCTCGACAGCGACGGATGGGCGGACCACCCGCTGAGCGGGCTGCCGTGCAGGTTGCTGAAAAGCCATGGGGGGGGTTCGAGGCGGCCCCTATCAAAGTGCCGTGCCGATATGGAGGATGTTTTAGGTGTGGTTGTGAGTTTTTGTCCCAGCACGGCGATGAGAGCGAGATTTGGCGTGCAGTATGGCGTAGGGCTTGGTGCGAGTGACGATACAGATAAGGCGTGATAGGGCAACGTCGGGCGGTTGTCGGAGCGCCGGGTGGGCAGCTCGGGGGTTCGAGGTAGGGGCAGTGTGGTACAGCGCGCGAGGAAGGTAAAACGCTATGAGAGTCGAAGAAGGGGAAATCGTACGGAGAAGACCAAATTTGTTGATGAGCCGCAAGAAATAGAGATAGAAAGGAGACGGCAGGAGATGCGTGACTTGGGCGGGCTCTAGTTTCCTTTTGTTGGGAGGCGGGCAGCGCTGTCTGATTGCGTCGAGGGGCTGGAGGGGCACATACAAAGATGACAGATCGGTCACTGCAGTCTGCAGTCTGCAGTGCACCTCCCGTATCAAGAAGCAGTGCAGAGGAACCAGCGGCACGGCAGTGGGCCCGTTACAGTGGGCTCGTGGTGCCGATGGGCTGCTCGCGTGCCGGATCCAGCGGTCTAGAGGGTTATTAGTAGGTACTAGGTAATATGACAATAAGAGCACACTATCGCCATATAACCTCTCGCAATGGACTTTACAAATGTTTTCTCCTTTCGAATCGTGTCATCTCTTCCCGTTTTTGACTGTCCCATTGCAGTTGCTCCCACTGTTTCTCTAGACGCAGCCGCTGCATTCGTATCAGCATCCCCCCTCCCTCATGACATGACACTGTCCTGCTGAACTGCTGGGCTGACTGGCTACCCCTCTCAGAAATAGTTACAGTGGTTCCCGCGCTACAAGTGGTCTCACTTAGTACATTATTAGTAGTTACCAGTGGTGGCATCAATTCGTCCCAGATGTCGTTATCAGCGTGTCGATTTCGTCCTACGTTTGCCCTTTATCTACATCACCCGTGCATCAACAAACTCCATCTGTCAAACCTTGTGCCCTCCGATATGCACTCGGTCCGTTCCCGGCTCTGTAACTATCGCCTCTTGACGCCTCAAGCACAAAGTCCCTCCAATGGCGTGCGGTAGCAAACATAACACCGCCCTTTCTGTTTCGGTGCACGCGTCAGATCCAGCCAGCCTCTTTGCTGGTCCCAAGCCCGACCCCAAGCCCTTTCATTTCGTCTCTTTGTTTCAGTCATGGCCGGGGACAGGGTCTTGGGTTCCGTCCGGGTCCGCCACTGTCACGAACACGCAACAAGCGATGACTCGCGAATCTAGGTGGTTGATGGCGCTGCCGTCTTCGCTATTCCTGCCTTGTTAGTAGGCACGGTGTTGTAACTAAATAGCGCGTCCCCGGCACTACAGAGTTACGACTGATAATCGCTTGCAGTACTGCCCAATGTTGCAAACACGCCTGATACCTGGTCCTACATACATGTCCATTATTATCTCATCTTTAATCTAGCGTGCCCCTGCATCTCCCTGATAGGCTCGTCCTTGTATCGATTTGTCTTACAGCTGTACTGCAGTCCGCAGGACGTCAAGCCCACCCCGCCCTGCCTTGAACGACTTGCGCCTACATCTCCATCTCATCATTCATATTAGTTATGTTTCTCTGTTTGCTCTAGAAAGCTCAATTCCAGCGGCGACCTGGCGGTCTGGCGTTACCCGCTCACACCCGACTCTTGCTGCATCAACACCAACCAAGCTCACTCTCATGGCGAGCCGTCCACCGGACCCGTTCAGCTCTTTCCGCTCCGCCCAGCCCAACAGAACGAAAACATGCATCGCGCCTGATCTAACGGACCTTGCACTCGACGCCCTGTCCCCCGCTTGTTTTCCCCTAGACTGACCTTTATTGGCTTGTTCAGGGCGCTGCTGACGGAATGGCGTCACCCGCTGTCGGGTCAGGTGGCCATCTCGCCAACTGCGCTCAAGTGTTCCTTGCCTTGCCCGACCCCGCAGGCTCCCCCACTCGCCACCACCTCTATCTATCACCGTCACTCTTCGTCGGCATTGGCACTTGTAACTAGTACATAGTTAGACAGCTCAGGCTACCACAATTCTCAACAATATAGTGCGCGGAATGGGCAAGAAACCGGATTGTAACACATTGCTTGTAATATCCACGCCGCCACGTCTTCTTCTGCGTTGGCCATGGTACGATCCACCTCCATCTTTCCAGGCTCCTCACCGATCTCGCATATTATTGTGGCACTGCCCTCGTCCCTTGTTACTTTATATTTCAAATCCGATAATCCGATGTTGAACGGACTTGTGCGACAACCACGAAGCACAGTACCGCTCACGACAACGCCGAGGTGCTGCATGCTCCTGTCGTAACAGATCACAGCAACCCAGGATGAGCTGATTTAGACGTTGTATGTTCTACAACAAGTCCAAAGTTACTCTGCCATTGATAATTAAGAATAACGAGTTATTCATGAATCGAAAAACATTACCAACAAATGCTCAGGTCGGCCATAACCTGCAGGTCCCAATTCTCTGTACTGATACCTTGTCAAAGAGCAAACTTGAGCCAGTGGTTAGTTATCTTTGTCGGCACTCCAGAGTTGCTATTGCAAGCCTCGTTCGCAGTATTCTCATGTTCCAGGCTCTAGGTATGTACGTATCATTCTCCAAGGCAACTATGCTAGCCTGTTCAACAATTTAACACATATGATGCTTTACTACTTGTACCCTGGCGGCGATTTGCTTCCTCGCACTAATAAGTCTGGTGCACAGTGTTGCACATTCGCTGGTTGACCGTGCCATAACAATGTCCGGAATTGTGTTCACAGAGTCATTTCAGCCGTTCGAAAGGAAAATTCTTACTGGTTTGTCACTTAGTCACAGTACCAAATTGCCCAGGCTCGTCTTTCTCTACTTGAGGAAGTATCTCCGCGACATAACTGCTTGTCAGGGTGTCAGGCAAACATCGACATGCGAATTGTGCACACAAATTGCAGGGGTCGAGTATGTAGTTCAATTCGTCCATTTTGACAACCATGTAAACTAAACGTCATCTATCTGACATGCCACATTGACGCCAGCCGAATTCCAAATGCAAACCTCGCTACTCCATCTAAGCCGTGAAGGCATCGGGGAAGCGGCGCATGTTCTCGGCCAGAGAGCCGTGGTTGCTGAGGAACTGGACGTAAGCACCATCGTCCTTGACACGGCCAGAGGCCTTGCGCTCCAGGTACTCCTCACGGCGGAGGGGAGTGAAACCCCAGTTCTTAGAGACAATGATCTTCTGGCGACCAGGGAACTTGTACTGGGAGCGGCGGAGGGCCTCGAGGGCGAGCGCACGGTCTGACAGCTTGTTAGTCAAGGTACCGAGTGTAGGGTTCCTGTTACCCCAGGTTCATGAGAGACATACTAGAGTCACGAGTGCGGAGGCTCATGATGATCTGACCAATGTTGACACGGGCGACGGAGCCGTTGGGCTTGCCCCAGGCACCACGCATACCGGTCTGCAGTCTATCGGCACCGGCACATGACAACATCTTGTTGATACGGACGACGTGGAAAGGGTGGGCGCGCACGCGCAGGTGGAAAGCATCCTTGCCGCTGTTCTTGACCATGTACTTGTTGGCGCAAATACGGGCGGCCTCGAGAGCCTCGGAGCTCAGCTGCTCATACTCATTGGAGACGAGGTGGATGCAGAGAGGGAAGTCGTCGACGGCGGCACGCTTGCGGCCAAGATCGAAGATGCGAATCTTGGGGTCGGGGACACCACGGTTGAAGCGCGACTTGGGGTACGGCTAAAAAAGAAGCATGTTAATATCATGGACTGCGCATTGCGATTTGCCATGGCGCCGTGGCCCTGCGATCCGACTCCTCTGCCTCATGCGTCATCCCCTTTGCAGCCCTCGCATCTCATATCCATCGTCGATTCGGAGTCGGTTCGCAGGCGACGAAAATCCATTGGAAAATCTTACCTTGTTCTTGCAGTAGCGGTAGCAACGAGCGGGACGGCGAGCCATCTTGTGGAATTTCTGGTGAGCTTTCCGTAAAGTGGTTGTTGGTGATGGGGAAGAAATGACTCCAAACGAGCGGAACCAAGGACACTTTCTTTCCCAGTGGCCACCACTATTGATTTCAAAGCAGCGCTTGGTAATCTGGATCGGTGGTCTTCTCGCTTGAACCTCGGGCCTTTAGGGCTAACGCCAAACAGTAACGGACCCCTGATTGGCTCGCGTGACGGGCACGCAAAGCGCAGCCCTCGCCCCACTCCAAAATTTCGGGCTACCCAAAAATCACACCGGCGAGCGTCCAACGGATATCAAGATTTTGCTCTGCATCAAAGACACGGTCAATTTCACAACACCGAAAGCAATACCGTCGAGCTACCCAAAAATCACACCGGCGAGCGTCCAACGGATATCAAGATTTTGCTCTGCATCAAAGACACGGTCAATTTCACAACACCGAAAGCAATACCGTCGAGATGGCTCCCATTAAGAAGAACAAGAAGGACTCCAACACCATCAACTCCAAGTTGGCGCTTGTTATGAAGTCCGGCAAGGGTTCGTCACTGCCGTCGTCTGCCCGTATTTCCCTGCCGGAATGCTAACATCAGCTTCAGTCACTCTTGGATACAAGTCGACCCTGAAGAGCCTGCGATCCGGCAAGGCCAAGCTCATCATCATTGCTGGCAACACTCCCCCTCTGCGCAAGTCTGAGCTCGAGTACTACAGCATGTTGTCCAAAACGCCCTGCCACCATTTTGGTGGAACAACGTAAGTGTCCTCCCCAGCGCATACTCTTTGCGGACTTCTTCGCTCAGACCAAACGTGATGCATCCTGTTTATATTCGTAAACAAGCCGTCCAATCGTTGCTACGACGGCGTGCTTGACTGGGAGAAGCCTGAAAATCCTTCGATGGAGGTCAGGGTTCACCTAGGGTCTGCCCAGCGAAGAAGTCTAGCCTTGACTTTGGAGGGTTCACATTGGCTTACATGTACTCTTCTTTTCCCTACAGATTGAGCTCGGTACCGCCTGCGGTAAGCTCTTCCGCTGCTCCACCCTCGCCATCCTCGAGGCTGGTGACTCCGACATCCTCAGCGACCAGGCTGCTTAAGCGGTGAACGATCGCCAAAAACAATAAAAACCTGAAAGCATTTTTCTCTGGCGTTGGGGGTAACTCGGGTCACCGGTACATACCAGTCGATGTAATGCGACATGAGGCAAAGGGCTCCAGTAGGCTGATGTAATGGAATTATTCGTTGAAAGCCGCCGTTTGCGCACAATCGTGTGTAATTACGTGTCGCTCTCTGTTAGTAGCGCCGAAATAGACGACTCAATGAAGAATTAAAGCTCAAGGCTTTGTGTTTGCTCGTGGTGATTGTGGAGGGGCCAGGTTGCCAGCTGTCCGAGGTAGTCGATCCCGCGTGAGAGGTACCTACACGACAAGCGCGAGCTTGGCACATGTACGTCTGCAACAAAGCCCTTGGTTCGTGGCTTGCAAAGTTGTGAGTTACAGATCCTGGTTAACCCGTCCGGTCTGCGTCTTTCACTGTTCAAGAGATCGCCCCATACTTGGTTTGCATCCTAGCGGGCCATCAGGATCAGCATGACAGGTACTCGCAGGGGACAACGAGGTGGCCGAGCGGTTATGCGTTGCTATTATGCGGTGGATTTCCAGCAACGAATGAAGGGCCGGCTCAATCAATAAGAAATAAATTATATGAACTCTAGCTTTAAAAGCCTCCGTGGGGCTTGTACACGTGCTCGTTGTACCAGTAGTCGCTTGTATCACATTCATTGCGGAACACAATGCGTCAATGTACCTACCGGAGGCCGCATCGTTGACAGCCAGAGCGGCAGAGTAGTACTGCATTGTCCGCCACAATTTGACTGGCGTTTATTATATTCAGGGCCAACTGCCTACCTACCGACCCTAGGTAGGTACCGAAAGGAGAGAACACGTCTGACCGTTGTAACTCAGTAGGTCGGCATCCGCCCGCGGTACTAGTGGACGACGGTAACATTAGCTCGATCAGACCATGGCATGCGAGGACTTGAATACCTTGTGCGTCCAGCGTGGAAGATACAAATCGCAACTGTGGCGCGCGTATGGCCGTTTTTCCTAGTTACTGCTGTGAGTACGTCCGAGACATGCAGTCGCGTTTCGCCCATGTGCCCGTAGCAACACCAGGCAGCATTCTTGCTCTCGGCGCCAAAGCAATAGACTTGGTAGGAGAGGACAGGCACTTCGTACCCGCTACTTCTGGGCCATGTATTCGAGATACTCCTCTACAATGTACCATGTACCAGGGGCTGCATTGCTGTCCTTGCTGTCCACTAGTTAATTATAAATCTGCTCCGAAACGCCTGGCTGTGGCTGCTCGTCCCTGAATCACGGGCCAAGATGACTTATGTGGGGACCTTGCACAGGGCGCTGTCTGTCGGAACCCCATGTTTTTTGTTGTGTACCTTTACCGTCTCCGTACCACGTTGTCCTCCTATTCTTCCTCGACATTTCAACAACCATCCTCAAACACATAAACTGCAAACACTGGTGGTCGCGTCTACTACCGCCTAAGAATTATTACCGCACCTACTTTGCATTATCCTGCGCAAGCCCTCGTCGTTTATCGCCCCATCTAGCCGACGCATTATACATCACCGCTAGTCGCTGGCTATTCAGAGTTTCAGTGTCGCCGTCATCATGTCTGCCGTCGCCAAAAAGCCACCTGGTGGCGTTGGCCGAATCTCCCATACCGAGACCACAACGTCACCCAGCCCTTCGCCATCACGAACCACCTCTCAACGCAATTCGACGTCGACTCCCACCGGTCATGCCCGCACACGCTCAACCCGCATGGGAACTCCGGTGTCCGCCCGCGCAGCTGCCGCAGCCCGCAAGAACAGCACAGCCGCAGAGTCAGACGCCCACGCCGAGGCTACCGCTGCCGCCGAGGATCTCCAGCAGCGCCTGGAGAAGGAGGAGAAGCAATCAGAGCTGTTCAGCAAGCAGATCGACGTCCTCCAGACCAAACTTGACGATGCGGTCAAGGAGTCTGCAACGCTCGAGGAAAAGGTCCACGAGTACGAAGAGCAGCTCGAAGCCTTCACCAACGAAAAACGAGAGGCCACCCGCCAGATCCGTGAAATGGAAACCATCTACGAGGCGGAACGCAGTTCCATGCTCAAGGAAAAGGAGGACATGGCCAACAAGGAAGAGCAGATGCAAACCATTATCCAGAGGCTCAAAGACAGCCTTGCCCAACGTAATCATGGCGATGATGACTCGCGCCCCTCCCGGACAGGCAAGTACCACCTCTCTCACCTGGTGCTTGATGACACAGTCACTAACCTGGAAATAGCCAACGCGTCGCCCTCGATCGACGGCAGCAGCTTCGCCCCACCATCCTCGCTCCAGAGAAGTGACTCCCGCAACAGCTCAAAGCTTATCCTACAAAAGGACAAACTCATTGAATCACTACGACTAGACCTCGGCGAGGCTCAGAAAAAGCTGGAAGAATCTGAGAATCAAGGCGGTGGCCACCTCCGGGAGGTCGAGCGCCTGCTGATGGAAGCTCGCCTGGCCAACGCTAGACTGATGGAGGACAACGAAAGCTACCAGCTGCTTCTCAAGGACAAGACGCTTAAGGGCGACTTTGGCCAGAGTGACTTTAGTTATATGAGCTCCAACCAAGATGCCTTGGCCGCTCTTGAAGGCAAAGTCCCTGCTGCCTCATCGCTGGCCGACGAGCTCTCTGATGCCACCGCGGCTGAAGGTGAAGGCGATCGTCGCCTCGAGGGAGAGCTCAAGTCTATGAAGGAGCAGAACAAGGCTCTGACTCTATATATTAACAAGATCATCGAGCGCCTCCTGCAGCATCAGGACTTCGAGTCTATCTTGGACCAGTCCAGCGACGGAAAGGGCAATGTCAACAAGGAGTTGCCTCCCCCTCCGAACGGCGCATCCCTTCTCCAGCGTGCTAAATCCATGGCCATGGGCCCCAGCCTGAACAACAAATCAAAACCTCGCCCGATTTCTGTGATGCAGGCCAGCACACCCAACTCTGCGCATACGGATCCGGAGCGGGCGCCCAGTATTCCTATCGGCAATCTCGGTCGCTCCACTAGTGTTCGACGATCCCGCCCTCAGAGTGAACAGTTCCCTGGAGCTGCCAGTCTGGTAAGCCAGATGTACAAGGGTCCTGATGGTCCCCTCTCGCCTCCTCTTGGCAACCCTCGAAACTCGCAAGGCTTCCAGTCTGGTGCCAGCGCCACTGGCAACGGCACGTCGCGCATCCCCAGCACCAGCAGTCAAGCGCCATCGTCGGCGGGCAATTTCCCCGGCATGCGCAGCGAGACGTCAAGCATTAGTGGCGAGTCCGCCGATATCACCACACCGCCATCGCAGTCACCTCCCCGCTCTGTTCACGAAAAGAAGACGACCTTTGTCGGAGGCACGCCGCGCCCTCTGCGCCTCGTGCAGGAGAATGCCGACGCTGTCAGGGACAAGGAGAACAAACGCGCGAGCTGGTATACTGGCTGGACAGGCTGGGCCAAGAAAGACGATACGACCACGTTGCAGCAAGCGGCAAACGAGCCCATTCCAGAGTAAACGACATCGAAATACCTAGGTGGCCACCACATCGCTCCGCGTTTTAACCGCCTCTTCCGCTTTTTTTTTTTTGATCCCGTCGATTTTGACATTGTACCTCAACGGAAGCATGCAAACGGGTTTTGCTTGCCAGCCCTATGCCTCCTTTCTCGCTGTCCCAGCTGTGGCGACATTGGTGTTCTATTTTCTTCGCTTTTGTTTTCCGAGGAGGGTTTTTGAGCATTTGGCGTCTGTTGGCATACACATATTACGCGAAGACGGGTTCTTCATGACGGGATTACGTTGATGGGATTATACTACATGTATCATACGCGAGACGGGAGGGCAGACCAGACACTGGTCTGCTCTTTCTGTCGTGAAGCTATTGCCTTGTTTTGGAAGTTCATGTTTTGTCATGGCATTGATGAGGAGAATGTTGGATAAAACAAAACCTTGTATAAACGAAAACCAAACGAGGGTGTGGGGAGGGACAAAGAAGACTGGGAGACTACGATTGATTGGAGTTTTGCTTTTCATTGTTTTCATGTCCATTTTCGACCTTTGTGCATATTCAAAGACAGAGATACCACGCCTGACGTTCTTATTCACCCGCCAGTGCCCCGCTCGCCGCTACACGTTCTCGTTGTCATTATTGGCGGTATATCAAAGCCTTATATAGATAGATGTTTAGAAGATGAAAGACACCCCATTGCGGTTCCGTCACAATCAGTACAACGTTATACACTGTGAAATGATGGACGGTTGAGAAGGGCCATTCAAGCGGCCAGCGTCTCGACCTCGAGCGCAGCCAGCACAAAAGCCGCCTCCCCGCTCGTGAGGGTGCTCGTCACGGCGCCGGAGGAGGTGACACCCTGGTTGCGTGAGATGAAGCTCCCGAGCATGTGCAGCGAGCTCGAACGCCGGGCGGCGAAGAATGCGATTTAGGATAGCAAAGGTCGCATTTGTGTGGATGTGATTGAGGAGGTGTACGCAGAGGAGGGGGCCTGCCGTCGGAAGCTGGGTTGCAGATCGGCATACGGCGTGACATTGTCATGCGGGTGACCAATAAAACTAGGTTGACCTAACAGCCAAGTACCGAAAAGGCATTCAACAATGAAGAGCAAACAATAAGAATATGAAACATTACAACTAGAATTATGCTACAGTGAAACCCCGTGGAGACTGGTTTAATTTGTGCCCTCGACGGTAGTAACGCTAGCTCATGTAAGTCGCCCGGAACCTGAAGATCTGGCTGTAGTTTTGGTTTATCTTGCAAAGCGATGCTATCATTCATATATAAGAAGACAGGTAGTTATATAGGGAGAAACTAGGGTTCGAGGACGCAGCCCCGTCGCCTGTGGCTTGAGCTTTCTTGATGATGCGCAACGGCGTAATGCAACAGGGCGGAGTGGCCCATGGTTCGCGAACAGGAAGAATGTTTGCTATTCATACAACTACTGTGACTTGTATCAAATATATTCCAAAGACCAGAGAACAAATTTGCGGTCATTATCAAGCTTTGTATAGCACATTTCGTCCAATATCTTGGAGTTCCATCAAGTGGCGATCTAACGCTGCTCGTCGTATCCCTGACAAGAGGTGACTGAAATTCTGATAGACCGACTCGACGAGTGTGATTCCATTTTCAAAATTCTCCATTTTCCACGCCTGCTTCTTTCTCCCGCCGCTGCTGTACTTTGTGCGACCAGACCAATGGCAGCTGCAGCAAGCAGCACTACTCGCACGACACACAAAGGCCAGGCGACCAGGTCTGCCTCTCCCGTCGCGTCCAAGATCTCCTCATGCAACAAAAGTAAGAGAACAGGATCCCTTCAAGCATTCTCCCGGGTCCATTTGCTAACTCCTCGACAGTCAGTATACCGGCACGTACACCTACCACCCGGCCATGGGGGGGCAGCCAAGCGCCGCTGGCACCCAATCGCAAACACCACAACAACAACGGGCACCACCACCGCATCCGGTCTGGCCACCGCCGCCGCCGCCGCCCGTGGTTCCAAGGACCTGCCGAAATACGACGACGCCGGTGCGCACGTGGGCTATGCTGCCGCCGCCGGCCCCGCCGTGCCTGACGTGCCGGAGTCAGGGCATGGTCTACCGGGAGCGGCGCGCGGAGCGGACCAAGACGTGCGTGCTCTGCAGCGGGGGCGGGATCGTCAAGCTGTCGGCGGTCGGGGCGGAGGGCACGTGCTGGCACTGCTACGGCGAGGGGGAGACAAAGTATGTGACGATGGAAGGGGGCTGGATTCAGTGTTACTGTAAACAGCAGCCGCGGAGACGGCCGTCTCAGGATCCAAACTTAAGATCCTCCTAGCCTGTCGTGATTAAGAAGTCTGTCTACTAGAGTGTACTTGGTTGTAAAGGAAGTTTCATTGTTTGCTGTGAAGCATGAACATTGAGGCTCGGTGAATCGCCCTCGGGCGCGCGTTTACATATTGTTACACCGAAACATACAAAGCGAACCACATTGCCACTCGTCTTACAAGTAGTATCCGGTGCTTGTTCTGGAAAGTATTTATACTGTCCCAGCGAAGTAGATTCATCACTGCTGTGCCCAACCGCTCCATTTCAGAAACCCTAGAAAGGAACTTTCCATCTCGCCGTTTGCTCATTTGTTTACTCGTTTGATTTTGCGGCCAAGGGTCCTATACAGAACTCCACGTATCTCTTTTTTCTTGTCTCTTGGACAGCATGGATTGGGGTGATGAGCGGGAGCCACTCCTCGGCAAGGGCTCTGGCACTGAGCCGGACCCTGAGTTCGACCAGATGGAGGAGAAGTTTCAGGCGTATCTGCAGCTTTGCAGTAGGTATCCTGAGCCTAAAAGACCTTTGGCTTGGAAGATGTTCCAAGTAACTGTGTATGGGTCGCCGGTGCGCTTGTTGTAAGTCACATTGTCGTTCGCTATGCTGGTGCTTGAATTTAATCATGAAAATTAGCGACCTGAGAATTCCCTACGTCGAGGATGCCCTAGAGCGCGCCGACAAGCGCGTCAACGCCAAAATCGACGAGATGATTCCGGCAGTTCATCGATTCAGAGAGGAAATGAGAAAGCGTGTCAAGAAGGGAAATAAGAAATGGTGGCGCCGGCTGTTTGACAATGTGAACGAGGCCCGCGATCTTGTTGGGGACAAACAGGACGTTCCTCAGAAGACTATCATGTATATCTGGACCACACATCAAGCCTTGGGTTTTCTTCGATACTTGATCGGTGAGGATAAACCATCCTGGGCGAGATTTGCGAAGCAGGCTACTCGATACAAACCGAATATCTGGGATGTCACGCTGACAGAGGACATGGAGTGCTGGGAGCTTTGATGATCTACCCTGCACTTGAATCTAGAGTAGTAGTGTTTGCTCGAGGTAGATAGGTTTTGGTAGTTTTTGACAGTCGGAAAATTCCAGCACCTTTGGAGCATTCTGATTCCTTGAGAAACGGCTCGAGTTTGCATTTGGGGAGTATAAATTGCTCAGTTTCGAGAGTGTTAGACCTTGTGTGGCAGCCGAGCTCACCGGGAAGGCTGATGATTTGACAGTATCATCTCATCAATTGACAACAAGCTAAACCATGTTCATTATGGCAGCTGCCTACAAGATAAATACGACAAGTATAATAAACACAACAAGTACAATAATAATCAGTACGCCAAGTACGATAGTCAAGTTATCGGCCTTTGCTGACGGGCTAGGCTGAGCGCGTTGTTGCCGAGAACGGAAAGACACAGAGTGACATGTCTCCGACAAGCAATTACCTACTGACTAAGCATAGTACGACATGTAACTACCTACATACAGGGCGCGCGCTCGATGCTCTTGTCAAGTGTCGAGTGTTGATCTGCCGAAAAGGCAAGACCCCAATAGGTGGTTCGCTCATGGTACACGCAAGACACTGACGAGTTGTTGTTTCGTGACGACGGCCATGGACGAGTCGGACACGTGTCTCAAGGTTCTTTTCAACAAGAGAGGAATGGTAAGCAGGCTGCTGCACGGCTACCACGACTGGGATGCTTGGATGGCTTGGATGCCCTCCATCCCCTCCGCCTTCATGTCGGCCACAACTGCGAGTGGAGTCGCTAGTACGACTCGTTTATAATTTTTCCGTCGCCCTGCTAGAAAAGGCAAATTGCGACGAGCCAAGCAGGCGGGCGGGCGGGCGTCCCTGCAAGGGAAAAGTCGCGCAGAAAGTTTACTAGGGCTGGGGGCAGCGGATCGGCGGCATCGTGCAGAACGAGGCCGCGCAAGCGAGCCATTGGGTCGATAAAAGCTGGAATCGGACGCGGTCAGTCTCGAAAGCCATCGAGGACGCGGCTGGCTGGGAATCGACGACGATGCCTTGGGATGCGCCTTGCGGATTTGTTGCTGCAGACGATGCGAGCCCTGCCGGGTGGCCTTCCCACTGGACTGGGGGGGCCTGTGCCGCTGCCTGTGAGACTGTGAGAACCGTGGCAGGCTGAGGCCGCGGCCAGGCCTGGACGGGATTAGCGGCCTTGCGTGTGACTCATTTGTTGGACTCCACTGTCCGCGCTGGAGAAGGTACATGCTGCTGGCGTAGCGTCTTAGCAGCTCCGCCAGTGCTAGGCCTCAAAAATCTGCTACTGCGTTACTGCAGTCCTCCTCAGCCTCGGGTACCCCTTCCCAATCCTCCCAGACTGGCCTGGCCCCGAGGGCTGGTGCCTGAGAAATACATAATGTCCCCGTTCTTTTCCTCACCCACATTTCGCTTCCCTTTTTTTTTCTTTCTCTCCTCACCCTAAACATCATACATACACCCAGAACAAGATTACCAGCGCCTCAGGCCGCCTTCAAGATGCGATAAACTATCTCTTCCCCGAGAACTCCCCCTCTGAAACCGTCAAAATTCAGTCTCACGACTTCAACAACTTCTCCACTCAATCTTCTCCCCATTCAGCTCACCTTTCGGTCGACCTGAATTACAGCCCTGCTCTGAATAGCATCAGCTCCAGTTTCCCTACAACCGCCAACATTTCCAACTCAGACTTTCCAGTCTTCACCACGGACTCCCAGTCAACATGGCCTCCCCTACCAGCTTCCGCCCTGCCGGCACAACCCGAGCAATCACCACATCTGAGCCCAGCACAGAGCCCCCAGCAGGACTTCGTCTTGTTCGACAATCCTCCGCCTCCCAACGCTAATCGGTCTTCGGTTCCGCTGTCCAGTCAGCGTCGTCACTCGTACAATAATCGTTTAGAAAAGTCTGTTGCTTCTGCCCTTCAAAATCAGCGAGTTGCACAGCTTCTCCATACTTTTGGACATCCTTCATATCCCGTCAACGCCAAACGTGTCTCCAACAGCAATCAGTTTTACGCCTCTTCGGCACCATCCTCTACTGTTTCCCTGAAGCAACGGTCTTCAAGCGCCCGCCCCCCCGTTCCCCTCTTCAACCAGAACATCGGTGACGCGGACCAATCCGGCACGATGATGAACGCAGCAGATGTTATCCTGGATGATCTTCCCATCTTTGATGGCGAAGCCTCCAACACTGCTTTCTCCTCGCCCGCGATTCCAACCTCCTTTGACTTCAGCGGCAGCATGTCCAGCTCCGCCTCCAACTTGGGAACTGTCTCGCCCCACGACCTTTTGGTCCAGGAGCCTTTCATGTCCGCCCCCAACTCGGCTGCTCTCACTGCCTTGACCTCTCCGTCAATATACAATGAGTCTCCCGACTTTGATGGCTACGATGTCTCTCCCAACTTTGAGACGGCCGACTTTGGGCACCCAAGCGATTCTTGGTATCCCTTGTTCCCTCAGGAGTCGACTCTTCCTGAGGCGACCAACCCAGAGGACTCCCCCAACCAAGGCTCCGATTCTGATTCTGTCGGCCAGGCTTCTGGCGGCAGCCGACGCCGGCCTAGCGGCTCGCCTACCAACGGCGGTCGCTTGGCTGCGGCTGCTGGTGTCAACGCGCGCAAGCGCGATAAGCCTTTGCCTCCCATCATCATCGAAGACCCCAACGACGTTGTCGCTATGAAGAGAGCTCGCAATACCCTCGCTGCTCGAAAGTCACGTGAGCGCAAGGCTCTGCGCTTCGACGAGCTCGAGGACAGAATTGCGAAGCTCGAAGCTGAGCGCGACCACTGGAAGAAGATTGCTCTGTCTCAATCTGGTGCCCGATAGAAAGGGCGCTCTTCCTGGTGCTAAAAGTTTACTGTTTTTGCATTTTCGTTGACTATATTACCTTTCTCTTTCTACTTTCCTACAGTCGCTCTCTGTACTTTTTATTGTTCTTCCGCTGGTTCGCCATGTTGGCTGGGAGTTCTTGGGAAGCTTCCGCCGTTGTATTGTCTTTTGTGTAGGCCAAAGGCCGCCTTCTAGTTTGTCATAATTCATTTTCATCTATAAACGCTCGTACCTACCTGGTCTCACATTCTGCAATCAAATCTTGTCTCATGTCATACCCGTTTGGTTCAAAGCCAACTCTAGATGCACAAGTCATCTCGTCACCGTGGAATACTAGTTGGAATGGCTAGTTATCATCGTCTTCACTCTATTCATTCTTGTATTATCTTCTCCTTGCTCTTGATTACTCCATTTGCCCCTTATCGTTGCATCGCATGGGCGAAGCTGAACGTTCTAGGTGTTGACAGCCCTTGCTGCTGGGGTTGATCACGACTTGTCAGTGAGCACATTGCATCTCCACACGGTACTCTGGAAAACTCATATCGTGCAAGCGATTGATTCATGCAACTTCCAATCTAGTCTATATACATTCCTAATCATTCTTCATTTTTCGTTCGTCATGGTATTAAAAAACTAGGAAACTCAAGCCGTCCGCAATCCTGGCTCAATTAGAACTGCCCTGGTCCAGGTCCAAAGTACTCGCCCTTGGCCAGCGTCATGTGAGGGCACGAAACGCCATCGTCACAGCCAGAGGCGACAATATTGTTCCCCCACCAGCTGAACTCGGTGCCGTGGTATGCCAGAGCAAAGAACTGGATCAGACCTGAGATGGCCATGCCGGCAGAAAAGGCAGCCGACAGCACAAAGTTGTACTGCGACGTTTGGGTTAGCACGGGGCTTTCCTCGTTGGGGTTGCGGGTTGACAAAGACATACCTTGGACCAGAAGCCGAGAAAACGCTTGCGGACAAAGAGCCAGGAAAAGGCAGCGACGGGGACGGCGGGCCACATCTGGGAGATGTTGTACGGCGCCCAGGACAGGCCGCCGTTCATCATGACGACGGGGTGAATGTTGCGGACAAAGGCGCTCTTGGGCCACTTCTTGCCGGCCAGCCAAAAGAGCAGCACAACGACGACCCCGAGAGGGAAGCCGAGGAGCGTGACGGAGTAGGTGCCGCCAACACCCCAGAGACGCTTCGGACCAACGGTACCCCAGAGAACGGCGGCGGTGAAGAAGGTGTTGATGCCGGGGCAGAAGAAGCGGAAGGGGGCTTCGGGGGTGCATACGTCCTTAAGGTGGACCTGGAACTGGACGATGCCAATGTAGACAAAGGTGGTGACAAGACTAGGAACCATTTGCGCGAAGAAGGTAAAGCGCGGGGCAATCTTGACGTAGTGAGCCAGCTTCAAGTCGTTGCTAAAGGCCAGGGCGTGGGCGCAGGTGACGTAGCCGTACGACTTAAAGAAGCACATGGCCAGAGCGTTGCCCTCGACAAAGGAGCCGCCGATGAACTCCGCGAGGACGTTGAGGGTGACTTCAACGCCCGTCATAGCGTAGACAATACCAACGGGGACGACAAAGATAAGACACATAATGACGCCGTAAAAGACAACGGCGACGGACGTGTACGTGGGGTACACCGCAATGGCAGCGCAGCCGACGGCCACGGCAAAGACGAGGGTGCAAAAGTACCACCACTCGGGGACTTCCTTATACGCCTTCATCAGGCGGTTGTGGACATCGAGCACGCGGCCCTCCTCCACCTCCTTCTTCTTGGACGGGCGGAAGCTGTTGATCAAGTCGCGGAAGCCCATCATGATCTCGGTGCGGTGGAAGAGCGCGGCGTAGGTGACGACGGCGCTGTAGACGGCGAAGAAGATCATGTAGACGACCGTGTTGGCAGACGACAGGTACGGTGGGGAGTAAGCCTTATACTTTTCAATGTCCATGATGCCGCGCTCGTCGAGGATGCTCGTGACGTTGTAGCGCTTGCCGAAGCGGTCGTAAGGCTTGTTGGAGTTGATGGGCAGGTAAGCGCCGCCCCAGACGTTGCTGTAGTACATGGCGGCGATGACGGGCATGGTTAGGGCCATGCCGGCAAAGTTGTTGGCGATGCTGAAGAAGGGCAGCATCAGCGGATCCCACAGGTACGTGACGATATTCCAGTCAAAGGTGGGCAGCGGGTTGAGGCCGAGACCGGCGAAGCCGCCGGTGATGGCGGCCAGCTTGGCATTGTCGGGCGCGATCCAGACCATCCAGGAAAAGTACGCCAGCCCCTGGAAGATGAAGTTGGGGAACCAGAAATACAGAAACATGGCGGCAAAGGCGATGCCGAAGAACTTGAGACGGCTCATACGCCAAAAGGTCCGAAACGGGCCGGCGACGGCCGGATTCGAGTCCGAGTGAAAGGCCGAGTTGAGGGCAATGGTGACCAGAGACTGCGGCCACACGCAGTACGAGGGGTAAACGAGGAAGCGGCGGCAGATGCCCGCCAGGCTGTAGCCGATAAAGTTGGTCGATAGGGCAATGAGGATCTGGTAGCCGAAGCTAAGGGCCCAGCTCTGGTTGAAGAAGTGCGGCAGGTACTGGATCCAGATGATGTAGTTTGTGTACGGGGAGGACCGGGAGATGGACGCCATGATGGTAATGAGCATGTGCTCCTTGCGGTTGAAGGGCCCAGGGTTGAGGCTGTGGCGGACGCCGAACAGGGTGACGCCGACGTCGGGCAGCGCCTTTTCAAAGAGCTTGCCGACGGGGTAGGCGAGCAGCTGCGGGACGTTGGCCGTGACGGAGATGGCCGGCTGGCGGATCTCGAAGAAGCCGTTGATGAAGGCGACGGCGACGGAAAAGAAGATGCCAATGACCCAGGCGCGGATCGTCGAGCACGGCATGCTCGGGTCGTCGTGGTTGCTGACAACGGCGCGGACCTCGGCGTACGGCGAGTTGTTGGTGATGAGGGCGGCTTCGATCTTCATCTCGGCAATCAGCTGCTCGTGCTTTTCCGGGTTGTCAAAGACATCCTGGCTTTCTGTCGCAGGCGCAACTCAAGGGTTAGCTAGGGACGAGGGGTTTATGTGGAAAATGAGGGGCCTTGGGAGGTTGACGTACCGAGGAATTCCTCAATTCGGTCCAGAATGGTTTGGGGAAAGTTGGGATCACGGCGGTGGAGCTTGTACACTTGGTTCATGAGCTGATGAGAAGAGTTAGAGAATCTTAATACGCGGCATCTATTTCAAGAGCACGTACAGTACGCGTGCCCTCGAGGGTAAAGGTGGCAGCGAGCTCCTTGGCCTCGAGCAAGTCGTCCTCGGTGACGTTGAGGTCGTGCTCGGCACGCTCATCATCCGCGGCGGCAATGGCGGCATCGACGTGAATCTCGTGCAGCCCCTGTTTTACCAGATCACTTGTTAGCCTCTTCCGATCCTTTTTCTCTCTTTCAATCAAAGGTTTGCCGACAGCACAGAAACACGCACACGCACACACCTCTTTCTCATTGATGATGCCGCCGCGGGGCTCATCGTGGGCCACCGCGACTTCGCTTCGCTTCTCAGCGTAGTCGGCCATGGGTTTCGTGACAAGCCAATCCAAAGGATGGCAGAGACTTGGCGAAGTAATACACAGTCAAGGGTCTCAAAGGATCATGCAGTGACGCTGGGGAGTTTGGACTCTTTATGCTTTCCACGGCGAGTCCACGAGTCCAGGCCCGGCCGTGCGAGAATTCGCCCATTCCCATCACACTAGCTGGGGGGGGGATTGTACATAGGAGAGGCACTTAGTTTCTGCGAGATATCACATTGGCACATGGTACCGGGACCGCACCTGTGGCGTTTTCCCGGGGGTACCCTCTTCTTTGCTGACCTTCTATAACAGGACAAGGCCGCTCTGGGCACGCTTTGCTTCTGTCCTCTCTGCTTCTCTGAATGCAGCTGATGCATTGGCATTGGAGACGGACGACGGACCCATGCCGGGCCAGAAAGCAAAGTTGTTTCACACAGCAACTGCGCGCCAGTGGCTTCGCTAGCGCCATAATCCCTGGTCAATTTAGGCTTGGCAGATAAGGTGTCCATTAGCATATGCTCATCAGTGCCATCACTTGTCATGGGTCACACCTGGGAGTTGTGGCGACAACTAGCAACCCGGTCAGGTAACTAGGTAGTTAGTTGTACAGGCCAACTTTTGCAGCAAAGATCAACGAGAAGCGCCGCAGAGCTCAGACCCTGGAATTGTCTCGCCAACGTTGGTACTCCGTACAGCAGGTCGCTCTTCGTTGCTGGTCCCTGTAAACTGCATAGACTGCATAGATTCGAGTGTTTTGGGCCCCACGTCGGCAATCTATTGTCACCCTGCAGAGACGTGAAATGCGACAGTCGTCAGCTGAGGCGGATCAGCAAAGATAAACGCACTGTTCCAATGTTTCTCTCGACAAAAGTACCATCGCGGAAACATAGTTCCCCTTTGTTGCTATCTCGCTGGGGCGGGAAGGGTTGTGGCTGGCCCGCCCCCGCTTCCCAAAGTCAATCTCATTTATGCCGCCACCTGCTTATTTCGACTTTCTCGTCCTTTGCGTCGCAAAGAAAACAATCTTGTCCATTCCAAACGACGTCGGAGAATCATATGGACATCGGCTCGGGCTTCGCAGGATCCGACGTCGTGCCACCGCAGAAAGTGATTGGCTTGCCCTCTCGTGCCGGCTTGGCCACCTTGGCCATTCCATGGCGATGTGCTTGGCCAGATCTCGACGCCTCTGCCACTTGCTCGGCAAGCCACGACCAAGCCCCTTGAAATGATGGGCAGTTGGGTGCAGTGTCTTGGGCGATGGCCTTGACTGGGAACTTTTGTTGTGCAAAGGCGAGAAAAATGGCGCCAGAACGATGGCGTTATGGCCCCCCGCCCACTCTCCCCGCCTGCTCCCCCACAAGCGCTAGTTAGCGATGCGACTGCTTTCCAAAACTGTCCAGTTGACAGATTTATATTGACAAGCAGCCATGTGCGCTGGGCGGGCAAAGAAACGCTGGCATGTGGGCGTCGGTTGTCGCGTGGTGATGGCTGGGCGCGCCAAGGGTATTCGGATAGAGGATAATATATGACACACCGTAAAAGCCGGAAATGGCTGCCGTCGTCTGTTCACCACCCGCCAAGCCGAGTCTACAAAGGAACCCCGTGTATTTCTTTTGTGGCATTCAGACATTCCCAACTGCCACTGACCTTTGCAGCTTCGACACAGCTTTACGTTTCGCCGAACTGACTGAGCTGCAGGTGGTAGTAGCACAAGGCGAATGGCTGCTGGTACAACTTGAGGCCTGCCATGCGCCACTTGTACTCCTTTTCAGAGAATATTCCATAATACTTACGAATTCCTCTTATCAAGCAAGCTCAACCATGCCCGGTGTGGCTGCCACCAATTCCTTCAACAACGCCTCCTCGTGTTTTCTGGCCGCGAGGCTTGAACGATTACGTCAACTATCAAAAGGATCAAATGGCCACTGGGACCAACGAAAGAATGGTTCTTTTGTACACGATGCTGAGGTTTGGCCGCTTGGCACCGCCGCCAACGACAATCAGGCGCCTTGGCAAGCAGGATTTTGGTCCGTCGCCCATCTCCGTGCCAAGACGCCCTTTGACAAGACGACTCCCCGCCCTGATAAAGGAGCAGCTGGATGGTGGCTCATTTTACCTAGGCTCTACTTTTAAACGAGGAACGGCTGGCGATGAGATGTCCCTGCCGTTCTTACTCCTCTGTTCCTCATGGGGTCTCCTTCTGCGGTGGAGGTATCCATAGACTCCGTCTACGCACGCTACTCGACCATGGAAGAAGAGGCGCGATCAAAAGTCCCTCGAAGAGACTTGGGATGGTGTTTCTTGTTGTTTGTCATGACGAGCAGAAATGGGATCCCTCTGGTGATTTTTTGCTGGCGGGGCGAGGGGGCGCCCTCTAGCCAACGCGCATGGAGAGTAATATCCTTCAGTCGCGAGACTCAAAGTAGATGAACAGTTCCAAAGCTGCAGCTAGACATGGAATGAACTGGCGTGATGGCAGCTCATTGTTCTGATGGTCACTCATTTTCACAGCCACCTCACACGTTCTCATTTGGACTTTCCTAGTGAAGTGTCCAAGTGGACCGATTGCGATGTCTGGGGTAGTCTGTTTCCCCTTACAAATTTGCGGAGAGACGCCGTGTAACTGGCTCATTGCTAAAGAACTTAGTCTAAATGGAGAGTCTGTCACGGCGGAGAAAAAACCAACAGTTCAATGAGCCAGAGCGTCCCTGCAACATTGCTGCTGACCTTTGAATTCGGGAATGTTTTACATATGCCACTTCGAGCCCCGAAAACTTGCTGTTCAATGCGCTCTAAGCATAGTAAACATATATTTTCTAAGAGTTCTTCGTTCTTCGTTCTTCGTTCTTCGTTCTTCGTTCTTCGTTCTTCGTTCTTCGTTCTTCGTTCTTCGTTCTTTGTCCTGCCGCCGCCTTCTCCATTGCCGCGCGCCTGTGACAGGCCCTTGCTTGATACACAGAGGTTGTCATGCAATAAACCTCAGTGAAATGATGTCTTTTATAGTTTTTTCCAGTCGAGAAGAGGTGATGACTTTGCAGTGGCTGCAATATCGTGCCTCAGCCAGATCAAAACCTTTTTGTAGAGCCCTATGGTTTCACAGTTAAGCATGCACATTTCATGAATCGGACCTCTTCCCAAGACACTGACACTTTGATAACTATCGCAGCCGAGACTATCTGTATTTTGACAGTCTTACGCTCTCTGGCCGAAGAAGATGTCGGATGAAGCACTACTCACTCGCTCGTCCGGCACAAAGCCAAAATTGGACAACCTGCAAAAAGGGTTTGGCGACCGTCAGCTCGGAAAACTGGAACATAGTTTCCAAAATGGAGGAATGTAGATTTCGATAGAAAAATTACATATAATATGGAAGCTGCAAGCTAACAGACAAAGTTCGGCAATTGCTCACTGTTAAATCCCAATCAAGCCCTTCACTGACGCTTAGGTTTCCGTCCCTTGGTGGGTTTGGTTCGATTCTTCGAGCATGGCCGTCTGGCTTCAAGCCGCTGCTACTCACCACAATTTGGGTGCATATGTAATTGGATCCATGATCATGACCTTCGACTTTGCTAACATGCTGTTTAGGTAGGTTTTGTTTGGTTGGTGGCCAGGCTGTGTCACGGAGGGCGAGGATGGCGCAGCACTGGCCACTTACATGGTCGACTACGCGCCCAGGGAAATGTTGCAAGTGTACCGCGGCCTAAATCTATTTCCCACCCGTCAACAGTAATTTTCCACTTTGGCTCCTCGGTATCATTCTTGTCAGCCACCCAGGCTATTAACCGCCAGGCCGAGCTGCACCGAAGCGTCAGTACCAGCAGTGCTCCGGCCGGCCAGAGATCGTGGCCTGCTTTGCGTCAGCAGACTAATGTGGCCGCATATGCCTCTCATATGAAGGTATGGACGCGTATTTGGAAGCCTGAAAAATGCCGGGTTCCGTTCCCATGACCCGGCGTCCCTCGGTGGTGACCCCATCTCAATCAACGGCTTGTTGCAGCAAAACGTCGCAGAGATTTCTCTTCTATGCGGACTTTCCTGAGGCCTCTCTAATAGAAAACGACTCATGGAGCACCAGATAGGCAGCCGTGTGTACTCATGTCGTTCAGATATCACGCACACGTCACGCTGTTTCCTTGTGACAAGGTGAGCATGCACGGGGTAATCGGGCACCAATGATGACGTGTGAGCCCATGTCCTGGCAGGAAAGATTCAGTGTCTCCCAATACATTCGTCACTTGAGCACATCTAGGCAGCAGCCAGCACCGACGTGCATACTGCGACATACTGACCTAGATTCCTGCCCATGGCTTCAAACCTAGCGCTCACATATTCTCAAAGTGGACAATAGGGCTGTTATGGCGCTGGAACCGCCAAAAAAGCTTGACACCGCGAAACTTCCTTGTACAAGAAGGGGCAATCTCAGGTGCAAACCGACAACATACTCAACGTACGTTGTGTGACTGTTGGCGAAGAAGGCGGGAGTGGGGATGGACCAGCTGAGCTGCCTGCCACGTACCCTTTTGGGATCTTCTGGCTGTGCCAAGAGGCATTTTGCAAACCAGTAATGCTCTTGCTCGTGAAGGGTGTGTCAACGTGGCATATCTCGGGTAACCCTAACTACCCCTGTCCAACATCACAGCATCACGTTGGTCCAAGGCTTGCAGCCTGTCCACCTAATTGTAAGAATGAGGAGCGCGAGCACCGCTGTGTATAAATACAACATGGTCGGACGAAAGCATGTTTCCATCTACTCTCAATAAACTACTCTACTGAGCCCTACTAAACTCTACATACGAAAGCCAAGAACAAACAAGTGAGTAATACTAGTGGCTCCCAAAGCAATACCGCATTACTCACCAGCGCTCAGGCTAGAAATGGCAGACAAAGAGAAACCAAGTTCATTCTCCAAGACAAACCCCGGAACTGCAAGCTCGTTTTCCGGCGTCGAGATCGGAACCGCAACAATGAAGCCCGTATATCCTCTCCATATTCCTCTCGCAGCAATTGCGCAGCTCTCGTCATCTGCGAAGGCTGCTAAAGAGGCCAGGCAGAAGAAAGTTGTTCGACCCCCGACACCACCAAAGAAAAACAGTGGTGAAAATTGAACACACTCAGCTCGGGTCAAGATTCTGCGGCATCGGTGAAGGCCTCTGTAAGCCTCTTCATGTACCTAGCTCCATCGTCAAGTTTGCGGTCGATAAGCTGTCGTGAATTGCGGCGGAAAATACGGGAACAGAATCTCATATATGCGCCATTATCAAGTTCATCCACAGGATAGTCAAAACAGCTTTTCAAAATATGCTTCTCAAAGATTTGCGTAAATGTTGCCGGATGCTTTAGTGCTAGAGGAACCCAAACCATTCCGCTATCCCATGACCGCTGCATGATGGATGAAAGTGGCTCAGTACCTAGGTCTCTAGGCTGCTGCGCCTCCTCTTCGTGTCTGATATGCGCTGTAAATTCGACGTGCCTGGCTGCAAAGTCGGTGGGGTTGATATCGTTAAGAAATTTGGCGTCTAGCCAGTACGGAGTTTGTACGAACTCGGCTGGCCACGAACAGGCGAATTCTAGATCAATGATGCAGGTGATATTCCAGTCCTCATCGACAAATATATTGCTTTGATGGAGATCAGTTAAGCAACACACAAAAGGGCCATTACAGAGGTCGTCTCGATATAATTGCGGGAGCGCGAGCTTAGCGATAGCTAGGCTACCCATCTGGGGCCAGGCTTCGAATTCATCTAGTGCTGAATTCGGTTGTTCAAGAAACCGCGTTTCAAAGATTGCTAGCTGGGAAAGGATGAAGTCCCGAACACTCGAGAATGTCGTACGTCGTGATATAGTAGGAGACAGCCCATCATTTTCGTGCATGGTACTGTCGACGGTTATAGGACGATTGTCTAGGCGTAAATAGCCATCGTTGTCTAGGCGGAAGGTTCCGATACGGGGTAAGCGGACACGCGAAAGTGAGACCATCACTCTTGCCAGATCTCGTTGTAGATTCTGCAGTCGAGCGTCATCGCGTTTCTCTTGCCAGGTTTCCGACAGAATTGCCCCCCTCTGAAAGGGGATCATCTCGATGAGCAGATAGCCAATGTCAAGGGCCGCAAAACGAGTCGAGGCATGACGGGCGTACTGCGAGGGTGTCTGGAGGCCAAGAGTCGCTAAGAAGATGCGTCGAGCTTCGTGGAACCAGCGCGACCACCAGGGAAGCAGGTTGACATTCGTGAACTAGGGGATAATGAGACAAGGAGACGACAAGACACGGAGAAGCGATTCAAAAGTCAGCAACGGCGCTTACCCTTTGATTCGTAGATAAGCCAAAGCCATACAACTTTGGTATAGGAACCGAGGGACAATTCTCTTCGAGCCATGCATACATGGCCGCCTCACAGCTGAGTTTTTCATCCGAGTTGCCAGGGTGTATCAATTCCCCAACACGGTAGGGCAGAGGAAAACGAATAAAAGCATGCTCTGGAAGATTTGGCTTCGCAGGGTCGACGTGGATTGTAAACGGTACGCAAAGATTGAAGGATCCATGTCTCCACCATTCCTGGGGGGAAAGTTGGATGTTGGTTGGCTTGGCGCCTAAGTGATGTGCGATGACCTCCTCTAAAAGCACCCGATGTTCTTCTATATAGTTGTAAAAGGCTAGCTTGCGCTGCGGGTATAGCAAGGCATGAAGAACGTTTGAGCTTCGACCTTTTGCATCAGATAGGGTGATGGGGCCGGAGAGGAGATTGCGCGTCGTCATGGCAGATTCTTTGGGCTAATATTTTGGGGAGAGAAAGGGGGCACAAAGAGAACGGGAAGCCCCCTCAATGTTGGTTTGACGCGGAGTCATGTGACAGATAATACGCCTGCAGGGGGACAAAGCTTGGCGAGCTGTGCGAATGAGGCTTCTGTACCTGTTGGTCACAAACGGAATCGGCAGCAAGGCGAGCAGGAAAAAGTTGCAAGTATATTAGGGCACGTCTTTGCGGGTTGTTTCCTCCCAAGTTCACTGTTGCCTGGGCGTTGGGATTGAATCTGTGGACGACACACTGGGCTCATCCAAGGCTTCCCATTGTACCAAATTGGTGTAGCCAGGAATTTAAGGCCCAGTTTGGCTCAAAGACAACCGTGCATCCAACAAGGGTGATGGCGCCCTCAGCCGTCGAGGGCGAGGCCGTCTCCTTGTCTGAGTAAGCTTGCTATCGCTAACGACTGAGAGATGGACAGAACTTTGGGTTTCATCGCTTGTTGCGCAATGAAGAGATAGGTATTGCTCAAGTTTAGCCTCGTACTGACAACTCTCGAACATGATGTTTTTGTTACTAAGCTAAGTAATTTGTATAAATAACAAATAATTTGTAGGTATAAATGGAACGCGGGTGCCTGCAATGCACGTGAAACGGCGCGAGCGGTGAAAGATTCTGCCGCTTCGAACTGTCGTGGGTCGTGCGTTGGGCGGGTGCATACCAAGACCAAGTTGATTGGCAGCATACGTGTTTGCATAGAGGTCCATAGAGGTCAACAACGCATTGTCACCGTCACTACCATAAATCGACCTTTTTCTTCTTCCCAGCGCCGCTCTTACACGGATGATAGCTAACCAGTTCGTGCCCGTCCCGGAGCAGACTGCGGGGCCGGAGGAGACATGACCACACAGCTGCTCGCTACTGAGCTAGCGAATCTCATCCAGGAGAGCAAGCGGAAGCACAATGACTTGCGACAGGTGCATACCCTCGCTTCTTTACGCATCATACCGAATTCATAAGCTGACTGTATAGCTAGGCCGCTGAAAAGTCTCTGGAAGACTTGAAACTACTTGGTTCCATTCCTGAGAATGCCGTTTCTGATCGTGAGCCCACCTTCCCACCCTTCGTCGTTGGGTGCGGACTAACAAACTCCCACCAGAATTATCAGCGAGGATCAATTTCGTCAACCCGTTCATTATTGCTTGCGGAACTAAAAATGCAAAGTTTACCAGCATTGCCATCGTGTGCCTGCAGAGGCTTATTGTTGCCAGTGCGCTGCCGCGATCCAAGCTCAACCAAGTTCTCGATGCCTTAATGCAAGCTTCGTCCGCGGCTCTAGACGTCCAACTGAAAATCCTGCAAGCGTTGCCGTCGCTTCTTCAAAACTACGCTGCTGAACTTCAGGGCGAACTGCTTGTGACAACGCTCAACATTTGCTTCATTTTGCAGAGCAGCAAAAATGCAATTGTCAACAACACATCCGCGGCTACACTGCAGCAGCTTGTAGTAGCGGTCTTTGACAAGGTTGTTACAGAAGATGGTACAACGTCTCCCGATTCTACTACCTGGAGCTCCGCTGATCTGAATAGAAGCTGCCTCCAATGAGCCGTTTGTTGGCGACGCTGCTACTGCCACTGGCAAGGTCGAACTGCGTGCCGCAGCCCTCGACGCCTACAGAGTAAGTGGCATAAGCCCCTCAGCTGAAGACATACGCTGACATGTGACAGATATTCAATGACCTCTGTCTTCTCACCGAGAACCAGAGACCAGAATACATGCGCTTCGCCGGTCTTCCTCAAACCTTTGGGCTGGAGCTGATCGAATCTGTCATCACTAACCACGGCGTCTTATTAGCCAAGCACCCCGAACAAGTGCAAGTACTGAGAGTGCGCGTTATGCCTCTGCTCGTGAGCGCCCTCAAAGGGAAACCTACATTCTCTACCTCGGTCAGACTAGTTCGCATCTTGTACACTTTGCTACGTCGTCACATTAGTCTTCTACCGACAGAATGTGGCGAAGCGCTCGATATCCTGACTCATTTGATGGACCATGATTCGTTGCTGTGGAAGAGAGCCCTATGTATGGAAGTATTCCGCGGGCTCTTTGCGGAGCACGCCCTGATACGAGAAATATATGCCCTGTACGACGCCAAGAAGGGAGAGAAGGATGTCTTCAAGGCACTTGTTGCCATTTTTGTCCGTCTCGGCACCGAGAAACCTGCCGTCATAGGGCTAAGTCACCAATCTACAATTCCAGCATCTGACAATCGCGACGGCCAGGATGCCTCTGATCAGGCCGTTCTGGAAGCCAGTGGCGTTAGTGGCATCATGAGTGGCACGTCTGGCACAGAAACTTCCCATGTTGGCATCAGCTCTAAATGGAGTACTATTCGTATTCCTTGCATCGACCAACTGGATAAAACCGAACCGCCTCCTATCCCCGAAACATACGTGTACAGCTTGATCCTGGCGTGCATTTCGTCCCTCTCTGATGGTCTTGCCAAATTCATTCTCCCGCTTACAGTTTCCAATGATAACAGGAGCCGCCGCAAGGTCTCTCCACAAGAATCAGACAGGGACTCGCCGAAGCCGCAACACCTAGATACCGAAAGCACGACAGTTCGAACTAGGCCAGAGCGATCGGCATCATTTAAGAAGAATCCGATCCCTGTTAATCCACTCACGCTTGAAAGCCATCCTTTGCACTCCGAGGTCATGATATGTTCTTCTATTGTGGATGAATGCTGGCCGGCCATCCTGGCTACATGCTCCAATTTTCTCTATGCTTCGCTGGATTCAGAGTACTACCATGGACTCGTTCGAGCCTTCCAACGCTTTGCTCATGTCGCCGGGTTGCTTCAGCTCGCAACTCCGAGAGACGCCTTTTTGACAACGCTCGGAAAGTCAGCCGTACCGCCATATGTACTGACGGCTTGTCTCAACGCTGGACAATCCCGGTCAATTACACCTGGCACGATCCCGGAGAGTCCCGCCTCCACCATTTTCAGCAACGCGAGAGGTCTTCTAAGCGTCGAGTCCCTACAAAGCCCCCAAACAGCAGAGAAACAGCGTCAAGTCGGCGCAGATGTTACCAGTGCATCGCTAAATACCCGGAACCTTCTCTGCCTACGTGCTCTTTTGAATCTTGGAATCGCACTCGGACCGACACTGGGCACGTCGTGGAGCATCATCCTCGAAACATTACAACAGGCTGATCTTGTCTTATTCTCCACGAGCAAGGGTTCGATGCGGTCTCCATCCATCAGCAGAGCTCCTGAGCAGGGAATCGAGAATGAACACAACTCATTAATGGCAAATTTCAGCCACGAAGTGCGCTCTGTCGAAACTGCTGCATCCAGACTGTTTGAAAGCACAATTGACTTCCCCGACGAACAATTTGCTCATGTGATCCAATCTATTTGCGGATTGTTGACTGTGCAGCTTTCCACGGACAGCACACAAGCGCAACCGCAAACAAAAGCGCCACTCAAGCCTGGCCAGGGTCACCACAGGCGTGTACTCAGTTTTTCCAACCAAACAGTCACAGACACCAACCAGGAACTGTTGTTTGCTTTGGCTAAGCTTGGCGAAATTGCATCCATTAACTCGGAAAGGTTGTTGACGAGTGACCCGGACAAATCCGGTTGGAATCTGCTTATTGCCCAACTGAGCGCCACTCTTGACTCAACCACGATGAGCGCATCCGTTCGCATAAGGGCAGCGGAAGTTCTGGCAAGATTCATGCTTGAATCTGGTAGTATAGCAGCCAACTTGCCAGAGAAGCTGCGCGGCCCCATTCAACTCCGTCTTCTCGGGGGATTGCGTGACTCGCTGGCAGCCCTAGGGGAAAAGAAACGTCAAGACTCTGTTGCTGGCAACGCAACGGATCTAGAAATCCACCGCGTTATACTTGAAGGACTCCGCCAAATCCTCGAGAATCACGGTGAAAGCTTAGTGGAGGGCTGGGATGTTGCCTTTGAAATCATCGGCAGCGTGTTTGTGGCCAGCGATACAATCCCGGAAGATGGGAGGGACTCGAGTAAAGTAATTGGGACTAGGTCATCGAAGCTGGTACGCTCTGCGTTCGGTTCGCTGCAACTCATCTGCTCCGACTTTTTGGCTTCACTTCCTAATGGCTGTTTCTTGAACCTTGTCGATGCATTGTACAATTTCAGCTCGCAAGACGATGATCTAAATATTGCCTTGACGGTAAGATCGCTTGTCAAAAAGTTGTGTATCATGGCACTAACTGCAATTAGACTGTTACCTTTTTCTGGATATTATCCGACTTTTTGTCGGGTCATTCGAAGTCGCTAGAAATCACCGAAGAGCTGATGAGAGATGTTGGCTCTACAAGTCTAGCGAAGCTTGCTGCAAATAGCGACGATAAAAGTTCCTCTGCAGCGCTTTGGCTGCTGCTGCTACAACGTCTCACAGCCGTAAGCTCCGATACTAGGCTTGAGCTTCGCAACAGTGCCATACAGACCTTGCTTCGCATTTTTGATGCGTATGGGGATCACCTCACCCCAGAGGCGTGGTCCATGTGTATCAAGTCTGTCTTGTTCAGACTTCTGTCCTCGCTTCAAGATGAATTGGAATCTGCGAGCGAGGTTGGAACTGACGGCACCCGCCATGAATGGCACGACACCTCAGTTGTCGTTCTTAATGGGATATCTGCTCTCTTGGCCAACTACCTTGATGTACTCACAGTGCATCCGTCTTTCAATGAGCTGTGGAAGGAACTCTTGAAGCATTTCGCAAAGCTGCTCGACTTTGAAGTTCTGACCATTAATACTGCAACCTTCAAAGCACTAGCCCATATGCTAGCACAAGCGAATGAAGATCGGAAAGCGAAATTCGATGAAGCTGCGGTCGATATGGCCTGGGAGCTGTGGGCGCGAGGCGTACCTGCTGCTCAGAAACGCGAAGCAAAGGGGGAAGACAACCAAGGCTGTCTGCTGGCACATGTCGGATCTTTGACAGAGATCTATCAACTGATGCAGGCGAAACTTACAGTGGAGAGAGTCGAGAGAATTCTGACTTTACTTCATGCATCGGCCCAGGAGGCTTCGTTTGGTTCGTTGGCATCGGATCTGGATAACCTGACGCCGCTTCAATCTAAAATCATGGAGGCAGTCAAGATGATACGAACCGACGTGGACGGAGTTCCGGCTGCGATGTTGTCACATACCTCGAAACTTGCTACGCTGGCGTTCGAGCAAGACCTAAGTCAGGAGCAGAAACCTAAGCGCACCTTTGTTGCCTTGTCAAGAGCGAGCATATCCTTCTTGGAATTGGTAGCATTGAAGCATGCAGCGGACCGGGACATATACAACACTGGGTCGTTTGCGACGGCCCTCGCAGCACTTTGCAAACCGATATCATTGAAATACAGCTTCCCGCTGACGACCAAAGCAGTCCAGCCGTGGAGAATGGCGACGTTGTCTTCCCTTGCCGTGTTGGAGGCTGCTTTGCCACAATTGAAGGATCTAAAGGTCGCGAAAGAGACTGCACAGCATGTCTGGTTCAATGTTGCACGCCTTGGCGATAGCATCCTGAGTGCTGATTGCGACGACGCTGTAGCCGGAACTAGTTTTGCTGCTGATGAGGAATTTGACATTGATTCTTTCAAGAGATTACGCGATCTTATCATACCGGATCTCGGTGCAGAAGAAGTTGCCGACAAAGCCAGAAAAGCTGTTGCCTCGAGCCTCTTCAAAACATCCATCATCCATGCACCCACGGATGCTGACTACGAAATCATTAACGGAGAAGGTGGGATTGGACTTTCTGCGCTCTACGAGACACGAACGGGTCGAACCGTATTTGTGCCCCCTACACGCCGGAGCAAAATCGCCTATGTTGCGTTTGAAGAGCTCTTTGCCCTGGTAACGCAAGAGGACGCCGACCAGTCCTCCAAAGCACAGCAAAAGAAAAAGGGCGAAGCAACGAAGGATGCCCCGCCACTATCCGCGAGAGCCCGCATTGCCGCCTCAGTGGCGCCATTCTTCATTCTGCGGTGCGCTCTCACTTTGCGCGCCTACGTGGCCGACCAGCCGCTACGAGGCCAGATGCCGCAGCCTCTGAGCCAGAGACGCGAGCTGCTGTGGACGCTGCAGAGGCTCGTCCGTCTGCATAGCGAGTCGGCTGCCATACCGGCCCTGACGGGGGCGCACAGTACGAATCGAAAGCATCTGCTGCGGCTGTACCCGCTGCTGGTCAAGGGGTTAGTCGCAGGAGGCGATGATAAGGTATTGGGGTTGCTCAGGGAAGCGCTGGACGTGATAGGTGGAGAGATGGGCATTGCTTAGAACAAGATGCTGATGAAGAGGGTGTTTGTTGCCCTATCCCAATATCACCATAAATGTATGCAATCGGATGACTAAAGCTTCAGAATCTCCTTCCTCTCCTAAATTTGTCCAATAAATGGTTGGCGTCTTACATGGACGCCTCTACCAACTGTTAGCCGGTGCGTCACCGGCGTGGGGTCAACCCATCGCGGGGCATCAAAAAAATCTCAGCCACGCACTAGGCCAGCTCAAAACATTCCCCTTTCCACCACACCACCCGCCGCCCGCGCGCAGAGATTCCGAGCTCTGCCATGGGCAAATCGTCCAAGGATAAGCGCGATGCCTACTACCGCCTAGCTAAGGAGCAAGGCTGGCGCGCGCGCAGCGCGTTCAAGCTGCTGCAGCTCGACGAGGGTGCGCCTATGACCACGGACCCCGCGCCGGCCAAGTTGATTCGACTAACGCTTCCACTTTAGAATTCGACCTCTTTGCCGACGTCTCCCGCGTCGTCGACCTCTGCGCCGCGCCCGGGTCCTGGTCGCAGGTCCTCTCGCGCGTCCTCATCCAAGGCGAAACGTTTGGCCGCGCCGCGTGGCAAGATCGCGAAGCCCGTCTCCGGCAGCAGATGCTAGGCGTGCTGTCACCGTCCGCGACCCCTCCCCCGACCGACGACGACCAGCAACACCCTTCGGCCGACGAGGAGCTCGCCCGGACCGTCGCGGCGCAGCACGCCGCCTCGCGCCCACGCGACAATGTCAAGATTGTCGCCATTGACCTGCAGCCCATCTCGCCGCTCGCGGGCATCACGACCCTCCGCGCCGACATTACGCACCCGGCGACGGTGCCGCTGCTACTGTCCGCGCTGGACCCCGAGTACGCTAGGGACGACAGCAACACCGCCGCCAACCCGGTGGACCTGGTGCTCAGCGACGGCGCACCCGACGTGACGGGCCTGCACGACCTCGACATTTACGTGCAGTCGCAGCTGCTCTTTGCCGCGCTCAACCTGGCGCTGTGCGTGCTCAAGCCGGGCGGCAAGTTTGTGGCCAAGATCTTCCGCGGCCGCAACGTCGACGTGCTGTACGCGCAGCTCAAGCTGTTCTTCCGCAAGGTGGTCGTGGCTAAGCCGCGGAGCAGCCGAGCCAGCAGCGTCGAGGCCTTTATCGTGTGCGTCGACTTCCGGCCGCCGCCGGGGTTCTGCGCGAGCCTCGAGGAGCCGCTCGGCGTCGGGCCGCGGCTCGGCGGCATGGTGGAGGCGCGGAGGCGGCAGAGGCCCGTGGTGGCGGCGAGCAGGATGCAGGACGCGGCGCGGGGAACGTGGGATGCGGTGGTAGCCGGCGACGGAACCGGACTGGACGACTACTACGACGTGGTGGAGGAGAGGCACGTATACGATGACGAGGACGGGGCGGACACGGGGCGGACGTCGGCGACGACGGATCCGAGCAAGAGGTGGATTGCTCCGTTTATTGCTTGCGGCGATCTGTCCGCGTTTGACTCGGACGCTTCCTACACGCTACCCGAGGACTATGTCTCCCTGGACCCGGTGCAGCCGCCGATTGCGCCGCCGTATAAGCGAGCGATTGAGATGCGGGCTGCCCTGTCCAGAGCCGCGAAATAAAGGAAAATAGAGACAACAAGGTTGATGCCATAGAATATAAAAACCGCAACATGATACCGATAATCATCCTCTGCTACCCAACTTTTCTACTTTGGCAGAGGACGCTCTGAAGTCGAGAGCGACAAACAATCGAATAAAGAGCAAAAGGAAGAGAAAAGAACCCATTTTCAAGTTTCTCCTTTGGTCTAGCAGGCCTGACTGAGGCGCAAAAGAAAAAAAGAAAAAAAAAGAAATTGTAGAATGAAATGAAGTGCATATGTGCTTGGCCAAAACTAGACTCGAGGTACACTACCATATTCGAGAGCCAGCATGGCCGGACTGGAGGCCATCTTGTGCAGCCAGACGTGAAGAGAAAGAATTTTGCCAGGTGTTGATGTAGAAGGGGAAATGACGTGAACTCATAAGTGCCGTATATTTGATTTTCATCGAGGTCCGTCCTCGAGGTCGTTTAGTGGTCCTCGGGGACGTCCTTGACACCGTTGCCGGGCATCTCGAGGACGACGAGGCCGGCCGAGGGCCCCTCGTCAAAGTCGAGGGCGCCGAGCTCGCGCTGGTACATGCGGGCGGCGGCCGAGTCGTGGGTCATGAGGACGAGGCCGCGCAGGTTGGGCCAGCCGTCGACGACGTCCTTGAGGGCGCGCATCATCCACGAGGCGAGGCCGCGGCGCTGGTAGTCCTCGAGGATGAAGACGTCGGTGAGGTAGGCAAAGGTGACGTAGTCGGTGACGACGCGGCACAGGCCGGCGAGTCTGCAGTTGGGGCCGGAAGTCTCGCGAGGGAGGCCACCGTTGCCTTTTTTTTTTTTTTTCCTGTTAGCTTATTGGAGAGGGAGAACGTAGGGGGAGTTGAAGCTTACTCTTCATCTCGGCGGCCGTGTCGGGGACGGAGTAGATGGCCAGGGTCATGCAGTTGGAGAGCATCTTGCGCATCTGGTCAATGTCGAGGGGGTCGTTCCACCACATGAGGTCCGTGTCAAAGATGTCGTTGACGACAAACGGGTCGAGAAAGGTCTTGTCCGTGCTGAGGAAGAAGCCGTCACGGGCCCAGTAACGGGCAGGACCCTCTTGCTGGAGAGGGGCCGACTTGGCCGGGCCGGCCTGGGCCTGGGAGGATGCAGTCTCGGCGGCCATGGTTGAATTGTGTGAAGTGAGTGTGGTGACTGTTGGTGTGCGGTGTGTGTGTATTGGGTTTTTTTTGTATACGATTTGCTAGAGTCGGGGGGGGGGGGGGTTGTATGTTTGCGGCTCTGCAAGATCTTGTCGGCGAGGGAAGATGAAGTAGGTGGAGGGGAGAGGGAAGGCAATGGGTTTGTGTAGAAAATGGTAAAAACGTGGTTTATGGATTGGAGGCGAGGAAGGCGTGTTACTTGTACTTGGCTGACGGGCGGTGCCTGGGCTGGGGTACTCCATGGTACCAATTTACAAAAGTACGAAATCCGAGAACCGACCAACCTTGGGGGCGCGGCCCCGCTGACCTGTAAGAGAGCGGATCAAGCGCGCCCCATCCCAGACAAGAAAATTCCGGATGTTGCAGTTTTTTGTTATCTGTTTACTAGTACATACTTTTGTAGTGTTGAAACTAGGATTTCGTGTTGGCGCTGCTGGCGTTGGGGGGGGGGAGAGTGAGTTCCTCTTGACCGTCATCGTTGGCTTGAAGGAACAGCGAGAGAGAGAGAGAGAGAGAGCCATTGGCTCTCAAGGGCAAAAAACGTAAAAAAGACCGGGGGGCAGGAACAAGTATGAAACTACCTAGGCGGCGGCGCAGGGGAGCACATACATGGCACAGGCTGATTGCTTGTATGTACCAGTAAGACGTGGAAGCGTCCCCCCCGGTGGCCGGACCGCGGACGCGCCGTTGGTGCGTGCGAGTCCGGGCTGCGCACTGTGGACGAAACGGCACCTTGCAGCCGAAGCAGCCATCGCATACTCTCCTCGGCAAAATTCCCAGAATTATTTCTCAGTGCCAATCGGTCCATCCACAGACTGATTGATTTTTGCCTTTTCTCATCTGCCTCCTCCGCGTGCTCGCCTTTGCAGCAAGGGCCACTTACGGCGACCACTACTCCGGCACAGTCCCCGCACTGTGTACGTTCCCTACTCCGACGCCGAACCGGCGGGGACAACGACCCCCCCCCCCCTTCTGGACTTCCTTTCCCCTCCATCCCTCGAGTCTTGACCCATTTGACGACAAAGAAGGGCGATGCTCGACCAACCCGCTTGGAAACAACATCTCGTCTGTTATTCCGTTGAATGGCGGTTGTTTTTGGCGCTTGGAATCTTAAAGTGAATGCGACATTTGTTTGCCAAAGATAGGCTACTTTTGGTGGATTTCTATGGTACGGATTTTTTTTCGCGGCTATACCGCCCTCTGATGGTGGGCAATTGTGTTTTTGCAAGTGTCTTGTCATGGATCATGACTGAATGACCTTGGTGTTTTTTTTTTTTTTGGGCGGCTTCCTTCGCTCTTCTCCACACTGACGATGGTGGGGCCTCTCTCACCAGCCAGCCAAACACCCCCCTTTCCGGACAAGAGGTTGTAGCGTAGTTGCTCCTTTAAAAAAGAAAAAAAGTTTGTCCGTGGCTGCGAAGAGTATTGAAGATTTCAGTCGAGAAAAGGAACCCCCTATATTGAGGAATATGCCTCATTGCTGAGAGGAAAGCGGAGGGGAATACTGCTCGAACACCAGGCTGATATCACTCTTCCCCCGGAACCGTATCTCAGATGGAGAAACCAGATCCTAGACCACAACTTTCCAAGTCACACACACACACACAGCCCAGCCCCGGTCTAGGCAACCGGTTCATTCCTGCATACTGATAAACCACTATTTCAAACGCCCGCAGCTACCCGTACCCTTGTCAACTCTGTGCGTCAGTGGCAACGCCCAAAAGCCAGCTTGTGCTCGTGCTGACTTGCATAGTTACACACTCCGTTTCTGGGCTCCTTTGTTATCTTGGCCGGGTGGGTGAGAGGGTGTGACAAGGCTCGTCACGCGCAACGGAGGAACGCAAAAAGCCAGACCCCAGCCACGCACAATCCTCTCCATGCCCTTACCTACTGTTTTGCCCGTGCCCGGATATCTGGTTGGCTGACTGGCAACATACGGTCGCGGCCACATGACCACCTCCGGCGCGGCGCTTGCACCCTTTTTTCTGTTCATTTATTGATGCAGCCTGCTGTAGCACTCTCCGATGACGGACGCGATGACGGTCACGCATGCATGCCGACTCAATGTATATTGTACTTGGGGCGCCTCGAGGCGGCGTCTCGATACAGTCAACGCAACAAAGTCGCGACATTAAATTTGTTCCGTACCGTCAGGATGGGGCTTGAAACGTGCATGAATGGTAAACTCTTGAAAACTCATTTTCCACATCAAATCATTTTTGAAGCTCAACGCTCGAAGCTCAAGTCTGGGCCCCTGGCAGCATGTACCCTCTTATCCGCAATCATGCAGCCCACCTGAAGCCCGGGACTTGACAGCATCAACAGCATCGCCGGCGCAACATCCAGTGTAAACATCTTGAAACGTTAGTTGTTTAACTCCAAAGAGACTGTGAAGTCGCCCAATCCGGTCGAATAACCCATCCAGCACGACCATGCCCGCTGGTGGCGCACGCCGTGTCTATCTCTATATAATCGTAGCTATGTCTAAATCAATCGCACGCAAGGACAGCAGTCCTGAATATATATATTATCTCCAAAAAGAGACGCTTGAACCAAAAAAACAGCAAAACAAGAACAACGAAGACATGATACGAATAATACGCGTCTAGACTGTGTCTGCTGTACGGCACATTCGCTTCAACAAGAGAATGCATCGCAAACAAGATAGGAAAAGACAACAAAAGACGGCCCCCTTTTTGCCGCAACCTCGTTTCCCTGTTGCAGCGGCTTCAAGTTCTGTAGTGGTTTTTTTTTCCCGAGGTAACATCCATGCCCCAGATGTGATTCTTGAAAGGTGGCGTGGCCGAATTGGAACCGCTGTTGTAGTTATGGCTGGATTTACAACAAAACAAAGGAAAAAAAGAGAAAGGAAAGAAAGCATAGCCTAGCTATAATGTTAGTAGTTGGCATGGTCCTCCCCTCCCGCTGAAACATACTATAAACTCCGAATTCAATGTAAAAGAGGTATCCAAAGACGTTCTAGACAGGAGCGTTGTTGAACAGGAACGAGACCGACTCGCCGTTGTGGGTTCGGCGAATAGCCTGCCAAAGTTAGTCATGACCGCGCCTTTTGCGTTTGAGTAGCCTACCTCGGAGAGGGTGCCGGAAACATCAATGACCTTGAGCTTGGGGCAGCGCTCAACCTTGTCGCCGACTAGAAGAGGTTAGATAATCCTATGGCTCACTGTTGCACCGCTTTGATTCAGTTACTTACGGGGAACGGCTGTGACTGGTTAGCGTAGATCAGCAAACGATTGATCACAATTTGACTTACTATTGGTAACGACAACGCCAGAAAGGCAAGACTGATTGATAATCTCAATGGCCATACCGCTTAGAATGCCGTGGGTGACAATAGCGTAGACCTCCTTGGCACCGTGCTGGTTCAGAGTCGCAGCAGCCTTGGCCAGCTACAGATTGTGTTAGTACACGCTGCCAGCTCGCGATTCCTGAAAAGTACGTACAGTTCCGCAGGTGTCGGCCATGTCGTCGACGAGAATGGCTGTCTTGTCCTGGACGTCGCCAACGAGGACCATACGGCCAACAACGTTAGGGCGTGGACGCTCCTTATGGATGAGGGCAAAGGCCGTGTTGAGACGGTCAGCAATCGAGGTGGCGCGCTTGGCGCCGCCCGCGTCGGGTGATACAATAACGCAGTTGCCAACCTGTAGATTCTCGCGGATCCAGCGCAGTACCGAGGGCTCGGCGTACAGGTTGTCCACAGGCACGTTGAAGAACCCCTGGATCTGCGAGGCATGCAGGTCCATGGTGATGACGTGATTCTACGGATGCGACTCTGGTTAGAGGTCTGGAAAGTTTACACATCGATGGGGGGGCAGGCAAGAGGGCAACTTACGCAGCCAGACACTTGCAGCATATTGGCAATGAGCTTGGCGCTGATGGGCGCGCGTGACTTGTCCTTTTTATCCTGGCGGGCGTAGGGAAAGTTGGGGATGACGGCCGTGATACGGCGCGCCGAGGCAGTGCGGCAGGCGTGAATCATAATGAGGAGCTCCATAAGCCCGTCATTGACGTCGCCTGGCGCGGTTGACTGGAGGATAAAGACATCCTCGTCCCGTACCGACTCACCGATGGAAACACTAGTTTCCCGGTTGGAGAAGTTCAGACTCATGGTGTTGGCAATGTCAATGCCAAGGCTGCAACGCGTAGCAAGTCAGCCATCCTATCTCTTGCATACAAGCCAAGTGTGGGTGTGCAGGCGCGCCTGTGCAGCCACTTGATGGGCAAACGAGGTTTGATGGACAACATAGCATGTGGCATTGCCCATCAAAAGGCGCGGTCGGGGTGCATCAAAGAGGACGATAAGACGTACCGGGAGGCCACCCTGGCACTCAGCTCCGGATGGGAGCTACCCGAGATAAGCTTGATCTCGTTGGCCATTTGATCCAGCATGATATCGGGCGTTGCTTTCGAGATGGGCTTGTCCGGAGCCTGTCTTTTTTTTTTTTTTGCTGTTCCTTCTCGGTATGGCGGGGCAGGGATTTTTTTTTTCTCACGTTCGCGGCTCGGTAACGTAACCGGAATGAGACGGGTGTACTAATGCAGCCAGGGAGCGAGAGCTAGGGGCTTCTATTGGTCCGAGTGAGCAGACTCGGTATGGGAAGAAGCAGATGCAACCTTGCTTTTAGCCCTGTGAGGTTGGAATTGATGAGTTGCGAGGATGCGTGGCGATACTATCAGCAAAGAGCGCAGGGTGAGAGTCAGGGTTTTTGTTCATCAGATGCGGGCCGTGGGCGGCATGCGTCCTGGACCGGAGGCACCCGCATGAAAGCGCCAGGGACTTTGCAACGGCCGACCTGAGTACCTGTAGTCACCTAACTCAGTGGCCTTACAGCAGTCCTCCAGCTACCTCCAGTGGTTTTCTAGCGCTTGTTTAGCGGTCGCTTCAGAGGCTGGACACCGGAGCCGGCCTGGCCATCATCACCAATGGGTCACGTGCCGCTTGCATACAGGTACCTCTACCTCTGTCGCTACAACTGGCACTGCGTGGAATGTTCTTGGAACGCCTAAAACAACTCCGATGCACTGATGCACTCATGCTGAAATAAACCAAAAACTACCACCCTACTATATCTCGAGTAGGGCCTAGCCAAAGCCAGGCACTCGCATATGGCGCTACTAGAGACGTGGCTGCCTCGCAAAGATACCGTCCAAGCCTCTGCGCCCGGGTAGCACAAATGTTGATTGCTGCTCCCAACACAGCCATCCAACATGCCCAACCCGTATCCCTCCAAGTCATCGCCGAGACGCGCAAATTGCGGCAGGCACTTCCTCGAATGCAGGTCCAGCACTTCATCGACATGTGAGGGCCGGATCTACATGTCTCAGATGCCATCCTCGATGCCCAGTCAAATCTCTCGCCATCACCCCCCCGAGCAGCCCCCCAAACAAAACGCTGTGCCACTCGTTCGCCCCGTGCCCTAGAACATACCATCATAATGGAATCAGATGACGCCTCAGTGATGCCAGACCTGCCTCTCCCATCCCGCTCCGTGCTGTTCGACGAGCAGGCTGTGCCGCCCAAGCTGCGCCTGCTCATCGTCGCCACCGGCCCGCGCGACACCTCGTGGGCTCACGCGCTGATTGTCCGCTTGTCTAAGAGCCCCGACATCGAAATGCGCGCCGTCGTCGATGATGTTGTGCCCCGAATGACGCAAACCATCATCGCTATGCAAAATATGAGCTTTGCTGTCGGCCACCCGGACCGGCCCGAAGACGTCGAATTTTATCGACAGCAGGCGTTTGACCTCGTGGAATGGGCCCATATGCTCATCTGCTTGCCTCTGGATGCTGATGGTATTGCCAAGATGCTTGCAGGCATCTCGGACACGTTGATCGGCGAGGTGCTGAGAGGCTGGAGCTCGCACAAGAGCATCGTGTTGGTGCCAGGTATGAGCAAGCCCATGTGGTCTAACAGCACCACCAAGGAGCACTTGGACAGACTGCAGCACTCGGACAAATCGGTGCAGATTCTGGAACCAATCTTGTGGCACTATCAGAAGAGCCCAAACGCGAAACGAATACCAAGCTGGAACTCTTTCCATCAGGTGTTGCGCATTATACAGAATCGCGCCAATCTGCTAGGCCTTGGCCGTGATATTGGGATCATAATGCCAAGCATATCGATGCGCTTCAAAGAAGGCGCACGTTGTCGACAGCTGCCACCCGAAGTTTGGACCTTGGTCCTTGAACATGCAAACGACTGGGAGCTGGCGCAGGCACTGGGCATTTACACATCGCTTCCGAGGCCCCCAGCTTGGGTACTTCATCCCAAGGATGAGCTCGATAATGTCAGAGTTTATGAGCACGAGCTGGAAACGACCGCTCTGACCGGCACTAGCTCAGAGATATGCAAGAAGCTGTCCAAAGCACCGGGCGAGTACAACTACCTGTCCGCGCTCTTCATCAAACTTCTCCTCCGCTTCGGGCATGTAGAAGCGCTCGAGTACATCGAGATGAATAGACCGGAACTGTTCATCGCCTTTGAAGGCACCACGATACCGACTAAGGTCTCCTCGTTCTTTCCATGCACAAAGATGCTTCACTACTGGAAACATAGCCAATGGTTCGCCGGCAGACATGTGTACGACGCTGAAGCCGTTGATGGAGCTTCCAGATACGGCCATGTAGAAATACTGGACTGGTGGTGGCGACAGTCCGGGATGCCCCTGCGATACACCGAAACGTCGCTGGAACAGGCCAGCGCGAACGGACACATTGCCGTGCTTCAGTGGTGGCAGGACGCGGCCTTGCAAGACGAGTCGGTGGTACTGCGGCCTGGGCGTGCGCTGCTATGGGCTGCTCAATTTGGACGAGCAGATGTGCTGCACTGGTGGCACTTGTCCCGGATTGCTGTCGCTTACGGCAACGACGTGGTCAACGCAGCCTGCCAGAATGGACACGTCGACGTGCTCGAAGTCTGGCGCGCGGCAAAGGGCGACACAAGAATGTACGTGGATGAAGTGGACGTCATGTCGGCAACGTCGTACGGCCACGTCCCGGTGCTGGAGTGGTTGCTGTCATTTTCTCAAGGGCTTCTGCCCGGGATGAGTGGCTGCGGCCAGCCCATCGAGTTTCGCGTCTGTGATATTCAGGCTTGTTTGCACCGAAACTCGAGAGAGCAGAGGCGAGTCAGAGCGTGGTGGGCCAAGCATGGCATACGACCTGCGGCGACGGCAAATGAGCGATCGAGAGACATTGCGCGTCTCTAAAAAGTTGGGATTATTCAATATGACTTGATAACTACGAGCTACATGTCGTAGACGGCGCGACGAGTACGGTCCGGTTTTACATAGATGCACAGCACAGATCTACACAAATGATACCAGCACAATGACCAGTTCTACATCTGATGACAGTCGAGCGAGTCTGATGCATGAGAGCGCGTTTCCACCCATCGAACAAAGACAAATGGGGTAGGCAGTGTCCAGCTCCTTTCTGTACATAGCAAAGACAAGTACAAACATTATGAAACAGGGGGCTCGGAATATTACGTTGGTGAGCCGACGTGTAGCTGGGCGTTGTCAGGAGAAGTGGTCTTTGCCGTTCAAGGTTTGCCAAGAGACAGGGACAAGATTCTAGATGACTTCCTTTTCGCCCCAAGTGCCGTGGACAGCAGCCCCACTCACATGGAATCAGTGATCTCGCAGGGGTCGGGGAACACTGGCTGACAGGCAGAAGAAAAGGGGCGGGCCTAACTGCATAGTTGACTAGTATGGAAAACCGAGTTATTCTAAATCACAGGGCGATGGCTTTCTAGTTTGTCTTGCATTTTTACATTTTTACCAATAAGCGATCGCCCAGGTTTCAGACCCCTCCGCCCGTTGTGTGTCTTGCTTCTAACTACCTACCTACTAAGGTAGGTAGTTACCGCACAAAGGCGTTTTGGTGTGTTGCAGCCGAAAGGGAACGGAAGCAACCCGGCTGGCGGCCCGGAGAGAGGCACACAGCTTCCTGCTGCAAAGATGACCGGTTCTACGTTGAACCCTTTTTTTTCCTTCCCTCGGCGGTACCAGTTGTCATCCTTGAAACGTAGTCGGCCATCTATATTAATATTGGTAGCGAGGGTTGCCTTTTTCCCCCACACTTCATTTCGCCCTGCTAGTTTTTGCTCGGTATAAGCGGTCGCTATAACAGGGATTACCGGGCTGCGAAACGAGCAGGGGGCTGTACTAAGTGCCTGCGTGGTTGTGTTTTTAAGAGAATTTCCCTGGTTGCCGAGACAAAGGGACGGGACGAGGTTTCGCGAAAAGCTGGCCGTTTGGTGTGAGCGGCACATGGTGGCAGAGCTGATCCAAACGAGCGGCAAGGCTGTTGGCGGTGAAATATCTAGTCGCTGGACCCCTGGTGTTTGGCATGGGGATTCGACGTCGGTTATTACACGCGGCTAGGTAAGCTCGCGGAACCGCGTTCAAGGAGAGTGTTTCTGGGAGGCGCCCTGGGCTTTATTGCTTTTGGCTTGAGAATTAAAAAAGTGATTCGCGATGGGAAATACATAAATACGGGTATTTGACCTCAGTGTACGGAGTACACAAATAGCCCCCAAGTCCCAGGCACCTGCCCAACAACCGACACCTGCCCAACAATGGTCTCGGTTGACGGCCCGCCAACACCAAAAATCTAAGCTTTGGCAAACGCAAGTGCCGAACAACCGGGTTCCCTTTTCCTCCCTTACATACTTTCCTCATCATACCTTCAATCTGCCCCCCTTGCCAGTATTATTACCGCACCACCAGATTCAGACGTTTGCCGAATATGTATACCTTCCAGGATGCCCTTGCTTGCTCCAAATTGACCCCAATCGACCTTCTTTGTCTGGTCCCGTCATGTGGATGCTGCCTGGAGTAAGACGAGCTAAGACCACGAAGCCAATTCGCTAGCGCTCTCCAAAGCCCATTCTTCTCTTCGGTGCCCTCCTCTTCTCGGCCTTTTCAACCCCAAGAACGGCTCGACCCGATATTTGAATGGAAAGCCCGTTGTTATCTGCGTGGTACCTGGGCGCTGGCTGGACGCGCCGAAAGACAATGGGCCTTGCGTGTGCATGTGTGTGTGTCTAGACATTTGGGCGGGTGGACGCTCTCGTGGGTGGGCGTCTGTGCCGTCCTCGCTTCCAGTCTCTTGATGCGGAATTGGTTCCCGCCAGGCACGAGCGCGAAGTTAACTTACACACACACACACGCTAACTACCGCCCAGTCGGGAAGCCAGCAATTGCCTCGAACCAGCTTGGCGCCTTGACGATTCATGCGTCGGTCGTCGCGCTCTTGGAAAGGCAGTCCGCGCGCTCACAGATCTACGGCCCACCGCCCACATGCCATATCCGCAAAACTCCGCCGGATGATGGGTGTGCGTCTGGCCTGCCACCTGCCTCTGGGGCGACGCCCACAAGCAAGGACCTGTCTGGGCAGACTGGGCTGATGATGGCTGGGCTGGGCGTTGTCTGGAACCACATCTTCTTCGTCTGTTCTTCTTTTTTGGGTTTCACGGCCCCGCGCGCACAGTCGCTGCCACTGACACCTCCACCACTCTTGCCTCTTGCCGACAACCTGGACATATTACATTGACACGACGCACACCTCAGCGCACAAGTGCGTCACGATAGCCCACACCACCAATGGACCATAACGACCACTGACTCCGACTAGGCAATTGCTTCCAGTCTGTCAGACCCGCCTCATCGGTTGCCCGCATGTTGGACGCAGCGAAATTGCCAGAGTGGGCTGTTCTTGCTCTCCTTCTCGACCTTACTAGTTAGCTGCGACGGACCCCTTTTCGGAATTCTCACTGCTTTCTTCCTCTGAACCCTTGATCTCTCAACTCTATTAACTGGCTGGTTCTTCTCTTCTTCGCCTCTGCTGTCCTGCATACACCGACGCACACCCGCATAGCGCTAACTCCAGAAAACGTTTGGCGGTGACCACGAGCTTGCATGTGCGCCACTCACTCATACTACGACTTGGGGGCTAGATAATTCAGCCTTGACCCCTCCCCCCAGAACGACGACGCATTCCTGTTCGCACCTCATCTCAAACGACGTCAACCTCAACCAGAACCTGCGGTTTATGCTCCGGATCCTACATCCAACTCGCGCGGTGCGAACCAGCTTGTCGACGTAGACCAACGTTTGCTGGCTACGGCTACTACCAAAGTTGCTCTTGCTCTCGACATGATGGCTCGCTTTTCATTCGCAAAAGGTCGCAAGAAAGCGCCGCCCCCGCCGGTCCTCACCGAGCCCATGAGCAAAGCCCACAAGATTCTTGGCTCGACCCCGATCAACATTGATTTTCACAAGCCATGGGATGATGCCTCGTCCGAATACAGCGGCGGCACCGCTAACAGTACTGTCTCCAGCTATGCCAGCTCCGACGACTCCTGTGATCAACATGTAGCTGTCGCACATTCTAAGGACAAATGGGCCAATCATTCACAGGTGCGGCCGGCCGCCCTTGGATCTAGTACCCTCGACTGCGAAAGAGACAATAACTTCAGTGGCGCGAGCCGCGGTCTGCAAAGGGCACAGTCCGCATCTACCCTTCGACCTTATGACAATACATCCAAACAACCATTACCTATTTCTCAGGCGACCTCATCTTCCTCCATGATGAAAGGTGTGCCATCCAAGATACACAAGATGCTCAACCCGGAGAGCCCCACTGTCCTCAAAACGAAAAAGAAGCCTCCCAAGCTTGATCTTTCCAATCTGCGCACCTCTCGCCTACGCAAGACTCCACAGGGTCTGCAGCGTACTGATGGGACTGTTCTGCACGATGTCGAAAACTCGACCGCGTCTCCTTGCGCCTCGCTGGTTACACCCACGGGCAGGCGGCAAAGTTTCCAAACACGCAACACAAAGGATAATATGATTTCAACAGACTTTGAAGAGTCCAAGCTTTCGAGGTTGACTGGCGAGAGAAGGCATGGACGCCCAATGAAAGAGGCGCCATCGCTTTACGATCACTACGAGCAGATGACTAAACGCCAGTTGAGACGGGAGACTGAAATGCTGGAAGGCGAACAACAAATTCATCAGGGATTCAATGAGGAGGCCTATATAGAATATGATGAAGCGCCGTGGACAGCTCAAGATTCGCCATGGCTTCAGGATATTCTGCCGCCAACCCCACAAACGGCATTTATGACGGGACTGACCCCGGCAGCATCTCACAACAGATCCCACAGTGCCACGAGCAAGATGACTTCAAGCACCAAGCGATCAAAGAACCTTGACGATTCTGTCCTGCAAGAGACTAGTATGCTGACGCTATCTGAATCGGAGGAAGACGACAAACCCACGCCTTTACCACTGTCTTATACCACAAGCCCAAGCCGCCACTTGTCGACTGGCATATCACGCCCGCAATCCTCCATAACCTCCTCGCGAGACTCGGACCATAGGCTAGCGCGTCACTCGAAGAAAACCAGCTTTGCACCTGTCAACACGTACATTACATTTTCTTCTAGCAGTACACTGAACAGCGATGCCGCAATCCCGACCGAGGGCGGGTCAAGATCGAGCACGCGCTATGCTAGCATACCGGCGAACCACAGGCCATCAATTTCCAACACATCTGCCTCCTCGGCCATACGCCCAAGTGCCATCTACATTCCAGAGGGCCGATCGGTATCCATGCTGGCTGGCCGACAACCTGCTTCAGTAGATAATGGAGAGGAAAAACCCCCACTTAGGCCAGAGAGAGTGTCTTCTTTGAAAAGGCTGGCCCCTGCTGCGAGAAGAGCTCTAGCACCGATGCCACAGGAACTTACGCCGCCTCTCAGTCCTACATCTGTCGATTTTTTCATCCGCTCGGCCCGATCGTCCCTTGATGGTTCTGGCAGCCAAAAACGCTACATGGCCGTCACTCAAGAGGAGGAGAAGCTGCTTTCTGCTTTCCGGAATCAGAAGCAGCCAGACAAGGAGCCGCCTAGCGAAGTACACCAACAGCCCGCCCATATATGCAGTACTGATGCGTCGACGAATGCAAACACAACAGAAGGGGGCGAGACCGACAGCTTTCCAGGAATGGATTGCAAATCGGGTGAAGCCAAGCTCGACTTTGGATTCCCCGCTCTACCCAGTGCTCGAAAGCGACCATGCTTGGAGGGTACTATAGATGCATCTGCCAGCATTAGCAGTCGTGCATCCACAGCGACAAGCGATAAACTTTCCCAGTCAAGTATCGCGGAGTCTGAGAGCATAGACGTGGCCTACAAGCCATCTCCGGCTCCTTCACCAGTAGCTCAATATCCCATTGAGCGTGTGTTGGAGAATCACAGCGTTGAGCGCCAGAAGCCAGAGCAACAGGAAGTGATCCTGTACCTGGATGAGGCTGAAGAAAACCGGGGTATGCCTGACTCTTCAGCGCTTGCATGCGTCATCGTACCACCCTTACAGAAAGGGCACTTGAGAAATTCGGTGCACTCGTATTCACCGGTCCGCGACACGAAGCAAGCGCAAATATCTTCGTCTCCCCCACCGTCCACGACTCCTGACAGCAACCTCGCGGATTATGTGTATCGTTCCTCAAACACGATGCCATCTGTACCTGAAGATAGCGAGCTAGAGTACAAGCGCGAGGGAATTCATCAACCGATGGGCCCTTCAATACCCCAAGCACGGACGACATTGAGCAGCATGCCGCGACTGAGTGCTTTTGGATGGTGGGGCGACGACGACTAAATAATTACTGTTAGTATATTCACCGATGCCAGTATACATTCTACGACGATATGACATTTCACGATGGACTCGAAAATGGACTTTGCCGGAGGCGTTCTCTTTTGTATACCTTTGTACACATACTTTTGTCTCTACAGCTTTCAAGCACCGTGGCGCTGTACACCCGCCGCGCCAGTCGTTTCCTTGCCTATTTTTTTTTCTGTTGGAATAGCGAAACTCGCAACGATTTCAAGCAATTTGGTTGGAAGGTCTGGGTTGATTTGGCCTCAATATATACTTGGTTCTTCTTTGCCCTGTATTAGCGAAATTTATATATCTAATAACAGGTCATTACTACTCATCTCAATTTATGCTCTTGTATTCTACCAAACAGAAAAAAGAAACCCTGCCCGTGCTGATGGGATGGTCGGAATAACGAGCGGGGCAACTTGGCTCAGACACTTGGGTCAGGCACACACCAGGCGGGCGCACGCCGCGTCTCACATGCACGCGTCAAATCCATCCAATTCGAGCACAGAGTATGGCACAAAATATCGACCCGACGTGACGCCGAAGCTCCGTCATCTCCAGTGACTTTTCGTCTACTTCGTACGCAGACCACGGGTGGCCATGGAGGACAGCTCCGACGACGAGGCGCCGTCCATGCCCGCCCTGCAGCTGCATGCCGTCACCGAGGCGCTCCTCGCCGCGCTTGACCCCACGGCGACCGCGGCGCAAGATGACACGCGCGCCGTAGGTCGCCAGCGGGACCCGAGGTCGCGCGGATTACGGGGGTGCGCCTCGCCCCCCGGCAGGAAGCGTGGTGCGGGCGGGGGCGGCGACTCGGTCGCGCTGGGCCCCGGGTTTGCGGCGATGGCGAGGCCGCCGCGACGGCCGCAGAAACAGGTGACTCTTGACTGGCAGCAGGATGTTTTGCAGAGGGACTTGGCGGAGCGTGAGGAGCCGCGCGTTGGGCTACACGCCATGGGGCATGCGCAGAACAATGGCGGTGAGGACTACGAGCACAGCAGGTTACCCAGCCGGGACAATAACCGACATCAGTCTGTGAGAGAACTGGGGAATCTGAGCACAGAGGCAGCTGAACGACCGCCGATGCGCAGAGTCGTCGTCTCTCCCTGGCGCCGCCGCCGCAGCCCGCCGCAGCCGACGGCGGCGAACGAGTTACAGCCACCACCACCACCACCACCCGCGCTGGCAACAGCGCCCACCAAGCACAGACGGATCGTCATCGGCGGAATCTCGTACCGCATCCTGCGGAGGCTGGGCCGGGGCGGCAGCGGGCGCGTCTACGAGGTCATGGCGCCCGACACGCGGACCTGGGCGTTTAAAGCGATCCCGCTGGGCGCGCTCGACGACGTTGCCAAGCGGCAGGTCGAAAACGAAGTGGCGCTACTACACAGTCTGCGTGGGACGGACAGGGTGGTGGCTCTCGAGGACTGGTGCGTGGACGAGGCCAAGAATGCCATTCACATTGTACGCCCCCCCCCTTCAGAGTTGTTTTTTTAATGAAGCTAACAGAAAAGTACAAAAGGTCATGCAATTGGGCCAGATTGATCTGGAACACATCATCATGCAGCGCGGCGACACCAGGCTCGACCCCGTCTTTGTCGGGTTCTACTGGCGCGAAATGCTGCGGTGCGTGGCGGCGCTGCACGCGCACGGCATCGTGCACGCGGATATCAAGCCGGCCAATTTCGTGTCCGTCGACGGCGTCCTCAAAATCGTCGACTTTGGCATCGCGCACGGCCTCCCCGACGACACGGCCCACCTCTACCTGGAGCAGCTCGGCGGCACGCCCAACTACATGGCGCCCGAGACGCTGCGGGTGCTCTCGCGCGGAGAAGGGTGCTCTCGCGCCGTGGTGCGCTTCGGCACCCCGTGCGACATCTGGAGTCTGGGCTGCGTGCTGCACCGCATGGTCTACGGGCGTCCGCCGTTTGCGCACGTCGCTGGCGGCCTCGCGCCCAAGCTGCTGACCATTGTGGACGGCGCGGCGCCGGTCGAGCTGTCGGCGTACGGGCTCGGCGGCGGGGGCGTGCCGGAGGGCCTCCGGTGCACTATGGGGGCTTGCTTGGAGAGGGACCCAAGCCGCAGGCCGACGGCCGCGGGGCTGCTGGCCGCGGACGGGCTGCTGAGGGAAGACCGGTCGCTGGCTAGGGCGAGGGCGCTGGCGGATGTGATGCAGGATATGGCGACGAGGGCGGTGCGTAGGGAACTGCTGGATGAGTGGCTCGCGGAGGCGATGGAGGAGGCTGGGCTCAGATGAGCGAGTTGCGGAACGTGATAAATACCACTGGAAAAGGCAAAGGTTTATTTATCGCCGCCTCGCTGGCTGGTGTCTGCCTACCTGCCTACGTAGGCATTTACTTTATATTTTCTCGATTTATATTTCCCACATAGCGTAATATCAATATGCATGCCTTTAACGGACAATCTACTTGTATCACGACGAGCCATGGTACATGATTTTGCTTTTGGCCGCTTCATCATGAAGGTAGTTGGCACTTGTCCTGAGCGGGCGGGGACAAGGCCATGTTGTAGGACGATGCGAACCATGTCTCTCTGTATGCAGAAGGCGGCACAGCTGGGGCTGGAATGTTTTTTTTTCTTTTTCCAAGGAAGAGAGCCATCCAGCCTTGAAAGTTTTAAGCAACCCCATCCTCACAAATCCATCTCTCCGTTTGCAAATGGCAGTCCGCATCCTTGTCAAATGCTCCTCCGAAACGATACCCGGCACGGCCCTTGACCGAAGGACCACCATCGCCAACATTGCGTGCCGGCACCGCCTCGGCCGAGATTTCGACGAGCGCCACGATGGTCTACACTCGGCCGGCCACCACGTCCTCGATCACAGCCGGTGCTACTTCTTGATCGATATCGGCCCACGTGCATCGCCAGACCCCGAGGTGTGCTACTTTAGGTGGAACGGGGAAGCACTGTAAGTCAACAGGTTCGACTGAGTGAAAAATCCTAGCTGGAACCCTGTAGCTGCGAACAACGAGTAACGCCGCCGCTCATCTGGCATTTGACAAATACCTACCCGTTCAACCCGGATCCGGCAGATATAAAATCCTTTTCGGATGAAGAGTACAGGGCTACGTACGGTGAGGAGGCGTTTGCAAAACTAGTCATAGGCCGGATCAAAGTAAAGAGGAAAATGGGTAGGGAGCTATCCTCGGAGGAAAGACGGGTCCTGGAACAACATCCAGAACTGGCCGACAGTAGTTAGATCGGTGACGACCCAGCGAATACTTGCCATCTGTATTTAATTCATTGCTTCTATTCGCTCTTGTTTTGCCGCTATATATCGCTTTCAATGCATGTATCGCGCTTCATGCCGTCTAAATCGCTACATATCCTACAAGTGGTTGAACAACCGTAAATGCACCAAGACATCCATCACAGTGGATCTGCCACGCGTCCCAACGGACACTTGTCGTTGTTTTACACAAAAATAAGAAAAAATCGGGCGAGCTTGTTGAGTCGTTTGCTTCGACCCAGACGAGCCAATCCAAAACTCGGCCGCTCACTTCCCCCGGCATCGCCGACATCTACCCGGACATGATGGACCGACCACCGTCCTGCGTGACCCGCTGGCGGATACAAATCTTCAGCACACCGCTCCCCAGCCGGACGACGTCGGTGGGACGCCAGTCCGCCGCCGCGGTCGCGTCCACGTCCGCGTTTCGCGCCAGCGCCGCACCGTTCGGCCTGTACGGGCCAAGCGGCTGCGTGTCCTTAGACAACCGCCAACTTTCCGCGGTACTGTCCGAGTCGTAGGCGCTGGACGAGGCGTCCGACGACGAGCTCCCCGCGTCGTCGCCGGCCGGCTCTACACGCTCCATGGAGACGCCCACGGCGGCGTTGGGCGCAAACAGCAGCGCCTCGCCGGTCCGCAGCGACACAATCTGCTGGAAAATGTCGGCCAGCAGGTTGGCGGAGCGTCCGCTGCGCAGGAGGGGCGGCGTCCCGGGGGCGGCCTCGTCATCGTCATGGCTGTCGGCAGCGCCGAGCGACGAGGCACCAGCGAGATGGGACTTGAGCGCGTTGAGCCAGTCGGGCGACGTGAATCGGTGCACAATGGTGACGGAGCACAGGTCAAGGAGTTTGGGGGAGATGGTGGGCTCCTGCGTCGAGATGAAGACGCGCGCGGCGAGATGGCGCTGCAGCCGAATGGCCGAGAGCAGCCTCTCGGTGAGAGTCTCGCACTCGAGGGAGCCCGTCATGTACTTGTGCGCTTCATCGAGCGCCACCACGCGGCCGACGTCGGACTCTTGCTCCAGAAACAAGGAGAGGCAGATGGTGAAGAGCGAGCAGGCGGTAACGTCTGTGATGCAAGGGCACGACAGGTCGACAATCGTCAGCCGACCAGCCTGAAGAACGTGTTAGTAATCACGCATCACTGCGGTCGGGAGTCTACATCGTACCGTGGGAGTCCACGTATTGTCAGCCGTCTTGGCCCCCTTGACAAACGTGTTGGTTCGCGCGTGTTTGCCCTGGCCCGATCGCAGGCGGGTCTGGGTGGCGTGGCCGGCCACCATGAAGCTCTCGAGGGCGTCGAGACGCTGCTGCAGCGGGCCCAGCTGCGGGCCCGTCAAGCTCTCGTCGGTGAGGCGCCTCTTGAACTCGCCGTAGTTGAAGCCGTCCTCGTTGAGGGCCTGTTGCTCGAGGCGCATCTCGCGCAGGATCCGCGTCACCGTGTACATGTAGAGCGGCCAGGCGTCGCCGGCGACCGAGCCCATGGCCATGAGATCCAGCATGCGCTTCGTGTTGAGCTGGCTCTCGTGGATTTTAAAGTCTGACACGGTGACATTGGGGAGCTGTCTGTAGATTCTCTGCTCAAAATGTTAGTGCCACGGGCAAGGGACAGGCGCCATGTGGCCGCAGTTACGCTGCATTTACCTTGATATGGGCACGATTGGTAGGCGCACAGAGGACGCGCACTTGGACGTTTGGGTTCGAGGACAGGTAGGCCGCCTCGGCAGGGGTGCCGCCCGTGTCCGAATTGAAGGTGTCGTAGTGAAACACGACGCCGGTGAGGGGACGCGGCAGCTTGTTCGCGTCCGACGGCAGCAGGCAGTTTTCCAGCAGGCAGCTCAGAGAGTGGCTTTTGCCCGAGCCCTGGCTGCCGCAGATGAAGACGCTGGAAGGGGTGGCGACATTGTAAAAGAGACGCGGGTCTGACGCGGGCTCGCTCTGCGAGATGCCGCCCAGCAGGCCGTACTGTGTAAAGGGCGTGGCGTTGGGCGATCCGGAGAGCTGGCTGGCCTGACGCCGGACAGTGGCGTTGAAGATGGGCGTGTTTGCAATCTCGAGATGCGGTACGGTGATGAGATTGAGCAACTGCATGTGGCGGGCAAACTCGGCCGAGTCGTCTTTTTCTTCCAACAAGCTAGGCATGATGTGCGCGTATGAGTTTTCGAACGGGGGGTTCACCCCTGAGCTGAGAAGCGTGCGTATGACTTTGGCGCAGACGGGGGACCGTGGCTGATTGCTTCAGAGTACACTGTAATAGTATTACCAAAATATAAATGTAAGTAAAAACCTTTCAGGTGGGAGGGGGGAGGTTGTATAATAAGCACAAGTTGGAGATGCACGCAGTGAATGAAGAAGAAGTGAATGAAGGATTTCAACCTGCTCCACCACTGGCTCTCGTTTGCTGCCAACTGGCGATGTCGCACAAGGTCCCGGCAAGTGGGGTCGAGATAAAGCAGTGAATAAGGAAGATTGAAGTGATGATGCAACAGAAATGTACAACAAGCATGATGAAGAAAATAGAAATATAATAAAGATGGTTTGAAGAAATATTTATTTATTTGGGGTATTTTGTGGCCTTGTTGGATTAGCAGAGGCTTTCTTCGTAGCTGACCTGCGTTTCGCAAACATCAATAATCAGAGCCAAGCATCAACCTACGCATACCAATTCGAACAGATCCTGTGGTCCCTGTTTGCCTTTATTTCTCCTTTTCCGGCTCGAAAAACGCAACTGGGACGCCGCGGCCCGGGCAACCAACAATCTCTGCCTTGTGAAACTGCGCATCCCAGTCGTCGCGATACTCGACCCTCTCATACTTTTGTAATAATTTGACCACTGCAGCCGGATGAAAAAGAAAGAAAGATTAGTCAATAAGACGCAATACCCATGTTCACCCAAGCAGTTGTACATACAGACGTAGCCAATCTCGGTGACGGCAAAATTTTGGCCAATGCAGATACGCGGCCCGCCGTTGAACGGCACGTACTGCCACGGCCGCGGCGTCCAGTGGTCCCAGCGATCGGGGCTGTACACGGCCGGGTCCGCAAACGTCTCCGACTCGGGGGGGTAGAGGTCGCGGCGGCGCTGCATGGCGTAGGTGCTGTAGATGACGTGGTTTCCTTTGAAGCACGCAAGGTCGGGCTTGCCGGGCGCGCCCGTGAGCGTCGAATCCTCCACTAGACGAAAATGGGGCATTGTATTAGCATCATCCCAAGCTTGGGCGCACAGCAAACATACGGCAGGAGCGGATGTTGTAGGGCACCGCCGGGTACAGGCGCAGGGTCTCGTTGATGGCGTGCGTCAGGTACGTCATGGACTTGATGTCTTCGTATGTCGGATTCCGCGTCGCTCCGACCTTTTCCAGGACAGTCTGGCGCAGCTTGGCCCAGATGGCGGGGTAGTTGGCCAGCTCGTAGATGGTCCAGGACAGCGTCGCGGCCGTGGTGTCGCGGCCGGCCAGGAGCACGGCCATGATCTGGTCGCGAATCACCTTGGGGTCGCGCGAGAAGAGCGCAATGTTGTGCAGAAAGGTGAATTGCTTGTCCGACTTGGACAGCTTCTCGAGCTCCTCGGGCGTGAGCGACAGCGTCTGCTGAATATATGGCGTCATGAACTTTTCCAACGTCTTGATGCCGTCGTGATATGGCTTTTGCGGGACAAAGTGACGGAACGGGCTGCACGACCAGTTAATCGAGGAAGCGGTCTGTAAAGTTGGAAAAAGGCGACATACAATAGGATTGTCAAGATCATCTGCAGTCGCTGGACCACAGTAAAGGCATTGGAGAACTCGCTATTGGGACTGCACCTTTGTTAGCACACGGCTACACGCCATCAGAAAGAGACTCACTTGTCGAGGCTGCCTACACCGTGGCCCAGCAAGAAATCGGTCGTGAGGTCCAGCGTCATGCGGTAAAACAAGTCGCACATGTCGACGGTGGCGCCCGAGGCCGGCAGCTTGGAGAGGAGCTTGTCGGACCAGCGCGCAAAGATCTCCATGTCACGGACGCGGTCCTTGACAAACATGGGCCGGATCAGGGTGCGGCTGTCGTGCCACTGCGCGCCGTCGGTGGTGAAGATGCTGTCCCCGAGAAACGGCGCCCACACCTCGTGGAACTTGGGGCCCTTGCCAAAGTCGGCAAACTTGGCCGTCAGCACCGTCTTGATGTGCTCGGGCTCCTGCGTGAAGATGATGCGCCGGCCAAAGAAGAGGATCTCGACGGCGTTGGGCGAGTCCGCCGTGGCGACGGCAAAGATGCGCTGGAAAAACTCGTACAGACGGTTCTGGTTCTGGTAGTGCACCGCCGTCAAGGCGGTCCTGAGGGCTGATCCGATACGACGTGAGTTTGCTTGTCTTTTTTTGAAAATGGACATGGGGAGAGAGAGAGAGAGAGAGAGAGAGAGAGAGAGAGAGAGAT